GTGGGCCGGACAACTCCAGGACATCCAGATCCGTTTCGCACCATAGCAATCAAGGCAATACAAGCAAAAAGTTAGCAAAAGATAAAGCGGCGAGAGAGAGAAGCAAAATGAAAACAGAAGAAGACAAGGCAAAGGACAAGTTTCGAACCAAGGATTTCGGTAACATTTCGAACGTAACTTTCGGCAGAGTTTCGAACAACTTTGGATTAGGCTTTTGTTGTTAATTTGTTTTTTTGCGACCACGTCTCTACATAGCACTCGAGCAACATGCAACAGCAATATGCAACAGCAACATGCAACACACAACAGAAGCAGCAAGCAGCAACGTGATACACGAGTTGAGCAAGTGAATAGCAAATTTTGAAATGGGGCCACAACGTCCGATCTAAAGTGCCTTCAAGTAACAATGAAAACAAAAACGAAAAACTAAAAGAAAATACCAAAAAATAAAAACTGTTAATTTTTTATGTAACTAAAGCAAACGAAGAGGAAGAAATTATAAATAAAAATTGTATAAATGAAAATTAAACGTGTAAAAAGTATAAACAAATTAAACAACAAAAAAAAAACTAAGCGATGGTGAACGCGAGAGCGGTAACGCGAACGTAAACGATGAGAAAGGGCTCCAAATAGACCGGAAAGCAAACAAAAACCAAAACTGCCTCAGACTTTGGCCTGGTCACACTGTCCCTCCGATGGAATTCCTTGAGCTTGCCCAACCATAATGCTGTGGGAATCGATCGCAAATCTCAATCAAAGAATCCAGGACCCAGACTTTCGAACCCCCAATCCTTTACGCCCTAGCAAAAAAGTTGTAATTGACTACCTAAGTAAGCGATAAATATGTACGTATTTAGTTCTAGTATGTAAACGAATGAAAATTAACGTAAATCTCCATTTAGTCACGTCATTATGTATGGGAAATTGATGATTTAGAGTAGAGATGAAGACAAAAAGGTTTTGATATAGATACACCAGGTCATATACATATATATGTACGAGTATACCCCGAAAACAAAAAACCTCTCTATACATACGCATAAAGCGCTGAGTTGCTCATCTATCAATGTACTTTGAAAACACAGACACTCACACACACGACACTTGCATAAACTATGCTACATTTAATTTAGATTTAGAAGCGATGAACTAAGTATCCGACTCACCGCTGAGCGGAGCGTGATGAGCGATGAACTAAGAGAACGGCATACTGAAGAGGTGGCAATTAGGTATAGAGCGAAACTACATTTAAGAACTCTCGACCTCCCCCTCCCCAAAGAGGCGATCTGTGTGGACTCACATGCATTCGTATACTAAAATCAGGAGCATGTGCGATCGATCGCAGATAAACTATAAGACTTTCGAAAAAAAACGAAGGAGGAAACCTGCCGTTTCCCACTTTTGTGCTACTTCCTATCCCTAAACACACTCAGACACAACCCACCCACACACCACACACTTACACCCCACACACTCACACTCCCACACAGATATCTTGAGTTGGCAGCATCGTAATCGTTTCTTTAGTCGATGATGGGAAAGAACTAGTAAAAATTAGCAAAATTTAAAATTTATTATGTACCACACAGAAGAACACGCACACAGCCACTCTGACGACACAACTTGTATATATAAGTATGTATATTCCTTTGAGCTGAACATTGTATAACCGAGCGATTACGATGGAAATACACAGAATACACGGACAACAGGAAACAAGGACACACCGCGGTGTGTAAAGGGTTCTTTGCTTACAACTTTTCAAACGAATTAAAGCGTTTCGGCCAACCTTTAGGATTGACAAGAGATCGACTTTAGGAAAATATAACCACCCTGCCCAATTCCCTCTCAGAAAAAAGGAAATGCATCAAAATGAGAGCTGGGTGGGGAAATGCATCGTTTCGGTTGATGGATGCAAACGATCGAAATTTATCGTGAATCCAAAATTTAAACCAGAAAATTCATTTAAGTTCAATTAAGAGCGTAAATTGTGAAGAATATAGAAAAATGAATACTTTCAGTTACAATACAACAATAGACCGGAATGATTTCCAAGCAATAGTACAAACAACTTTAGAGATAACTTTTATAAATGTAATTGTAAACTAAGTGGTAGAAGGAGAGACCTGCTCCGGTTCATATACGATGGGAATAACTGCTCAAGAAAATATAATCCGGTTCCCAATCATCCGGAGCGGATCGAGGACAGAGAGAAAGTGAAAACCCGCGTATCCATAAATACGATTTAACATAATTTATCCTAAGTTGAGACTTTAACACACATTAATTTATACATTTTTGATAAGTGCAATGTAAGCGAAATTGTAGGCCAGCAGACGCCGCATATATTTTCAAAATTCCAACTTGACACCACGACACCCCTTCCGCTTCTATTAGAAGCTGGAAGAAGAACAATTCAAGTCTTTTCACACACAGTTTAAATTTATAAGAATATGTACTAACAATAGGAAACGACACCCAATTACCCAAAACAACCCGATGTCCCGCCCCCCTCTAAAACTTACACATTACTATTTACCAGAATATGAAACGAAATTAAAGAAAACCAAAAGAAATGCAAAAGTAAAGTCAAGCAAAGCAAAAAACATACATATATGAATGTAATACGCGGTGGAAACATACAAAGTTGGGAAACGAGAAAATTTCACAATCGACTATGTGTCGCGTATACACTTACGATAGTACGATATACTAACTTTATATGATTAACTAATTCATTTCGAATGAACATGAACCATAGCGATATATGTATAAGCCACGATTTGGTTACGGTTTCGATTTCGTTTCCGTTATATACTTTGGTTTGGTGTACACAATTTTTGGAAACTTCGGAAACCTTTTTCAGGCCAACAAATTAAGTAAATTACATTTTGGCGGCACATTTTGTAGCCAGCAACAAAATCTAAAAAGAAAATCGCACAAAATTGTACATTTCGCGAAAATAAAAATTCCAAAAATTAAATCGAAATTTGGATTTCCATTTAGAAAGTGCATTTAGCGCAAGGCAAAAGCAAAAACGGCACCACTCCACACCACACTACATCACACCACGAAGAGTATGAAAATGTGTATGAGGTAAATTCAGTATTTGGGATCTAAGCGAATATTATAACATACAAATTTATATTTATGCAAGCGACAAAATCGAAAGAAACCATACTAAAATTGTGTAATGAAAAGGAAATGGTAAAAACAAGAGCATAACACTAAACTAAACAATATGACATTTTTAATCGAAAAAAAACCAAAACAAACAAAACTTATTTTATTGAAAATTATGTAAAATTTACTAAGGAAAAATACAAAAAAAAAGACACACACACACAATAAAAGTATATTGTTTATTTTCATCTTTAAAAATAAAGTTTTAAAATCGTATAAAAATAGTAACTTTTTGCCTGGAGTTTTTTCTTTTGGATATGGGCGTAATTAGAGGTAAGTTATTATAAGAAGTCTAACTAAAGATATTTTATTATAATAAGCAAGTAAGGAAGATACAACTGCGTGCCCTCGACTATAAGAAACCCAATTTTAAAAACTGTGTGTGTTAATAAAAAGACCAAGGAAAAGACCAGACCTCACCCTCGAGCACACCAGTCACAATTTGAGTCAGAACTAAATACATAAATAGATAAAAGGATAATCCTTTATGGTATCATGTAATAATAAAATATTGGGAAAGTTCATTGTTTGATCAGTTTAAAATACGTCACTAAAAGAGTCATTTACCAAACATCCCTATATTATGATGATTTATTATTTAGTTAATTTTCATACAGAGTTTAGCATGGGATATACATACATATGTACATATATAAGAATATATACGAGGGCTCATGTCGACATCTATGAAAGTGATCGAGTAATTAATTTATTATAAAAAGGCGTAACCACGTGTCTTTTTATTATAAATCATTTTTTTTATTATAGGAATTGCAGGCATCAGATACAACAAGGGAAGTTCTATACACTTGCAGTGAAAATTCGTCATAAATCAGACAAAAATTATTTAATTTTCAATCGGAAAGCTGTTCTGTGTTAGTTTTTATAATACTTACAAATCTGCATACTGAGTTTTAAAATTCAAAAAATTTATTTTTTTTTAATGTTGACAATTTGAACGATGTAACAGCTTATAAAGTTTTCACAAAATATAAAAAAAAAGGTTTTGAGTCGGACATAGCTAGATCAACTCGGCAGTTGATGCTGATTATGAGTATATAGGATTTATAGGGTCGGAAATGAATTGTAATACCCTGCAAGGGTATACAAATTATATGTATCGTAAAACAAACTTGATCTGACCTACATATAAAGATAGTAAGACAAAAGTTTCAGTAATCTTAAGGAGAATAAGTAAAAAAATACGTTTGTCTGAAGTAGAAACGGATACGTTTTAATAATTAAAAACTGCCCTGCTAAAATATAAATATTTTAATGGAAAATGTGATGAAAACAATAATAAAAAAAATTAAATGTATGAAGCTAAGTTATAAAATAAGTTATTAAATAAAACAACTATGCCAAATAGCTGGATTGCAGAAAAGTATGTACAAATTCTTTAAATTATTATATGTAAATTATGGATATTTTATCTGTGATTACCATTAATCTCCCCATGGCTAAATTAAAATAAATAAATATGATTTTTTAAAATTTTAATATTTTCACCATTTATATCACAACGGTGATCTTAGCTGCAGTTAAAAATCAACCCATCAACGCATACCCGTACCGGAATAATTATATATTAGAAAAATTAAACATCAATAAAATGTCTAAGCTAAAAATGACTAAAACTAAACTAAAAACTAAATAAACAAAAAAAACAAATCAAACTGTTTCCAGTGTATAATAAATACACTCGGATTTTACAGATTGTTTACATTTTGACACGTTTTTTACACGTCACTCAGTATTTCTTCTACTCGCCATGTGTATGGGATTAACTAGTATGTTTCTTTGCTTCTTCTATCTTTGGCTGGTATATTGTAACGGTCAAGCTTTGGTCATACTGGCCGAGATGCATAAAAATAAAAACTAGCTTTTTGTTTTTCTCATCGGCCTGTTTTTGCCCCAAATCAAACTGTCAATCCGGAAGCAGCGAAGCCCTAGGTGAAACGAGGACCGACGACTGCACCTCAGACGCATTGAATGTAAACGCAACGACGGGAACAACACCACACCGCACAAAACTGAAAGACAACAGCGCACCTGCTGCCGCAGAAACCCAAATTGCCAAACTGCGGACTGTCAGACCAACGGAGGAGCCGCCATGAATGCCCTGCGGCAGTTCTATCTGGAGATCCCGGTGGTCACGCGGGCATACACCACGGTCTGTGTGCTGACTACACTGGCGGTAGTAAGTATCCGACTCGGATTGGATTAAGTCTTGCCAAGAGGGTGACGTGTACCGTCTAATCCGCGAACTTTGCCAACTTTTCGATTTTTCCAACAGCACCTGGACCTTGTGTCGCCGCTGCAGCTGTACTTTAACCCCACTCTGATCGTGAGGAAGTTCCAGATTTGGCGACTAGCCACAACATTCCTGTACTTCGGTACAATCGGCATCAGCTTCTTCTTCAATATGGTGTTCACGTACCGCTACTGCCGTATGCTGGAGGACGGCTCGTTCCGCGGCCGCAGCTCTGATTTCGTCATGATGTTTATCTTCGGTGGCGTTCTAATGACCTTCTTTGGCATCTTCGTCAACCTGTTGTTCCTGGGCCAGGCCTTCACATTAATGCTAGTCTACGTGTGGTCGCGCCGAAACCCGCTGGTGCCAATGAACTTCTTCGGCGTGCTCAATTTCCAAGCTCCGTACCTGCCGTGGGTGCTGCTATGTTGCTCTATGATCCTGGGCAACACCGTATGGGTGGACATAATCGGCATGGGTGTCGGACATATCTACTACGTGTTGGAGGACGTCTATCCCACGCTGTCCAACGGCTATAGACTGATCAAAACGCCCTACTTTCTGTAAGTTGTCTCCTGTCTAATCAAATGATTTCCCCAAAATATATTCTAATTTGTTTGTAGGAAACGTCTCTTTAACGAGCACATCGAACGCAACTACCAAGCACCTGCCGAGGATCGTCCCGGCGGCTTCCCATGGGGAGGCGAGGGTCAGCCGATGCTACCGGAACAGAATGCGGCTGACGAGCAGCAGGAGCCGGCGGATCAAGCACCGCCAGCCGCTGCAGCGCCGCAATAACAAAACTAGAAAACTTCATTGTTAAACTGTTTTCTGTTCAAACGAAGATGACGACGACGACGACAACAATGTTGTGTACCCCTCCGCCACCTCCCGTTCGGTGCTTGGTGTAATTAGGCGTATAGTATTGAGGAGGCGTGCAATAGTTAGCCAAAGTTAATGCAGAGCGTGTGTGTATGTCATCTATTGGTTTGTTTCTAATGCAGAGTCCAATCGCCACGCGAAACGTACTTTAAGTTTGCCCTCACGACAGATTGAACCTACACTGCACATGTGATTATATATATACAAACAAGCTACAAATAAACCATGATGTAAAAAGTCCTTATGTGACGGTATTTGCATTGTTGATTGGGTCCTTTAGAAGGAGACTTCGATTCGACAAATTAGTTTTACAGATCAGCCGTAACTAATACTTTAAATATAATGGGCCTTGTTATATTCCAAAGGAACCTTTGTTGCTTTTGCTACAAAAGATTCTTGTCTATGGATTTGTAGATTTAACTTTTTGCATCCAACCTACCTAAGAACTTGACTTGGAAAGTAGACTCTTTTTAAGACTTAAAAAATTTATAAATTTTCAGTTTCTAATGCGAAACTAACAAAATTGAATATAAAAAAGCCTGATATATCCTAGTTTTCATAAAATCGTATCTTTTTGTGAAACGATTCAATTATTATGATATCATTTTTCTATACACAAATCTACGGATCCAAAAAATATATGAAAAACTTCAAGAAAAGTAAAAAAAAAAAAATTTCATCGTGAATTGATTTTAAATATGTGGTTGTGCAAGAAATATAATTTTTTTGGCAACAAAAAAATTGTTCAAATATCGATATTCATGGGCCAACTAAAAATATCTGAATGCATTCGATACTATTCCGACAGGCTAAAAGTATCGCACACACATTCTATTCGATTTTGGTTGGGTTGTTGTTGTTATTCTTTAACGACACTAATTTGTAGCCCTATGACTTAAAAAGTATTATAAATAATGTATAGAGGATGTCGAAAATTGTAATGAATCAACTCACTCACCCCCAGCGTGTCCGACTCCTGTACAAAACCATTCTGCGACTCCACCGAGGTAAGTTTAAGTTGGCATTTTGATGTGTTTTTCCCACTTCATCAAGTTTCTGGTCTGCTATCCACAGGAATGCCGGCAGAGCTCCGAGCTCTGGGCGACAACTATGTGCGGGATGAGTTCCGGCGACACATCAAGTGCAATCCCATGGAGGCGCAATTCTTCATGACCGAGTGGGCGGTGAGTTTTACGTAATTTCTCGCACGACCATCTTCTGAAGGGCCATCCATTTGCAGCGTTATGCTTCAACAATCACACAGCAGCTAGGCCTGCGGGGCAAGCCCAAGGGCGAGCTGGGCGAGGAGATGGACCCGAAGGCCGTGGAGATGCTAAAGGACGACCAAGTTGTGCAGCTGTACGAGCTCATGCTGGCCGCCCGGGCCTCGATGGCGATACAATCACTGCAGAAGATGTGCGGGGCAAATAAACCTGTTAGTAATTTTATTGAACAAATTGTTTCTCCAGTACCTTGTACTCGAACTTAATGCCGTTCTCCTCCTGCAACCCCTCCGGTGTGCCGGCGTCGAGAGCTACCTCGTGAAACCCGTCCGGGATTGCGGGGAAAAAGGTGTCGCACTCGAACTTCCCCTGCACTTTAGTGATGTACAACTTGTGGCATCGCGCAGATGCCATGGCTTCAGCATATACGCCGCTGCCGCCGACTATCCAAACGTTCTCGATCTGGTCCGCCTCGGTCTCAATGTAATGCATCGCCGCCTCCAGACTGGGGCGCAGAACCACGTCGGCGGGCAGATCCGCCGGTTGCATCGTGGTGCTCAACACTATGTTGAGGCGCTCCGGGAGTGGGCGCTTGCTTTCTGGCACCCCAAAGTACGTTTTCTTGCCCATGATGACGGCATTGCGCTTGCCGGGGTCATTGGTTCGCTTGGTGGTGCGGCTAAAATACTTCAGTTCAGATCTGCAAGGGGGGGGGGGAGGAGTAGATTATAATCTTATCAGCATGATCTGCATAATCTGCATGATCTACGTTCTGCAAACTCACTTTATATGCCAGGGCAGATCGCCTTTGAGGCCGATGCCAAAGTTTTCGCCAACTGCCACCATTAAGTTGAAGTGCAGCATTTTTCCACTAGTCATAGCGATTAATTAATGATTTAAAACACTCGCGAAACGTGAAATAGTTAAAGTTTAGCTTTAAAGCCCGTTTTTGGTCAGCTGTTCGATCCAAAAGAGCGGTAAATTGGCTCGATGATCACCGATATCGATATCGATATCAAAGTCGATAGCCGAGAACTTATCAGTTGTTGAATTTTTTGAAATTTGCCCACATTTGCATCAATTTATATTTTCTGGATTTACAAAATTCTTTTGCCTTAAATTTCTTTTACTTAGAATTTTAAATATAATAATAATTAAATGAATGCTTAAAGCTGTCGTTACAGAACTTTGTTTTCAAATTTGATTTTGTTTTATTTCCACTAAACTTTAAGTATTTGTATGTTCCTGACAGGTTGCATCTTTGTTTATAAATTTGTACATTATGATCATATGTTTATTTTTATACCCTAAGGGTGTGCCTTTACGCTCCCTTATAAAGATAAGAAAATTTGGTGCCCTGGATTATTACAAAATTAACGGAGAAGAAAACGAACCGCTGAATATTACTCTGGTCCATCCAAAAGCCAGTAGGTTTCCATCTCTCCTTTGCCTTTGACCTTGACGAAACCCCGTGCCTCCACTTTGTATCCGACCTTCTGCACCTTTAGCGCCGTATAGTTGGACAACTGAATCATCCAGGGATCGCTGCTGCTCTCCATACGCGAGGCTGTATTGACAGTATCTCCAAAAAGGCAGTACCGGGGCACCTTCATGCCCACAACGCCGGCCACCACGGGTCCGGAGTTGATGCCCACCCGAATTGCCACTCCGGGCAGAGCGTGGGCCTTTACCTTTTTCATCACGCGTAGGGCTAGATCACAGGCGTGTTCGGCGTGAAGGGGATTCACGTCTGGAGCTCCCGAAACCGCCATATAAACCATGCCCACGGTTTCCACTTTGTACACAAACGGGGAGATGATCTCCTCGTCCAGCGCTGAAAAGACCTTATTCAAGGTTGTCACCGCCTGCATGGCATCCTGGATGTTGTTGGAACCGCTGTCGTAGACATTCAGGACTTCGATGAAGATGACGGAAACCTCCTCGAAGCTCTGGCAGACGTGCTCCTCACTCTTTCTCATCCTCTCGGCTATGGGTCGGGGAATCATGGAGTACAGGAGCTCATCGCCCTGCCGCTTCCAAGAGTCGGCCAGTTCCAGGGACTTCTCCAGCTCATCTGATCGCTGCTCCTCCTTTTCAAACATTATCTCCAGCTTAGAGCAGTGCTGCCAGCCAGCCATGACGAGCTCTCGGCTCAGACCGTGCGGATTAAGGTCGTTTAAGTACAACCCAATCCCGTGCAGTTCATCCAGGTTCTCGATGAGCGGGCTACAGAGAAAGATCAGCGAGTCCACGTCCTTAATGTAGAACATTTGTCCCTTCAGAAGGATGGAACGCAAACCAACAGAGGTTCGACGCTGCCCCGTCGCAGGATCGATTTCGTTCTTTGAGGATGTTGCGGCCTCCTCCTCTTTGGCATTCTCAGCACTGAACTCCTTGGCACTGGCCAGAGCCATCGCCTGTGCCTCATTCAGGCTGGCATCGTCGAAGGTGTCGTAGTCGATGTTGAGGGCCGCATCGTACGCGGCTCGATTGTGGCCCGTGCGGATGAGTTCAAACTCAAACAACACAGTGCGCATCTGCAGAATGGTTTCCCACTCGATTTTCGTGTCCTTCGGCCGCCGACACTTGAAGCGGTCCATGACATGGCTGCCAATAAAGCTCTTGGGGTTGACGCCAGGATTATGCAGGATCCACGTCTCGATTATTTTCTCGCCAGCGAGTGTGATGCACATGTCATGGTTCAGCACAATGGTGAAGGGGAAGAGTTCCAGGAAAATGTTCAGGTCCACCGAAGGCATCTTTAATTGCGAGGGATGGGCGACCACGTTAACCCGCTTTGCCATGTAGTCCCTATTGTCAAAGTCCAGCCGGTACTTCACAATTACAGTGAGAGGGCCATCCGTCAGCTTGATAGGACCCGCAGTGCCGCCACAGATGTCGTTTTGGCTCTCAAGAACATAAGCGGTCATGTCCAGGCCGTAGAACTCGCGAGCCACCTCCGTCATCTGGCCAATCAGGTACTTGGACATGCCAGTCCTCCCGCTTCGATAAAGGATGACGGCTCCGTTGTCATCCATGTTAGTCAGTTGCATGCTGGGCGACTTCATCTTGGGGTAGGTGAAGCGCATCTGAAGATGGATGTTGTCGATGGACTGCAGGAAGTCGCAAAAGTATCTTCCCGTGGAGCGAATCATCTTGTCGTAGCCAAAGTTGCTGAAGAAGCGCACAAAGCACTTCCCGAAGAAGTTCATGCAGAAGTCGAAGGATTCGCCAGTGCAGGCGGACAGGGCGGCGGCAAAGTCCGGCATCAACTTGTCCGGATAGATCTGGTGCGTTTTGAAACTCTGGTGTTTGCACTCCACTATCTCGCAGACCTTTCTCCAGGTGGACATACCATACTCCTGCTGGATGTAGTGCTGCACGCTCTCGTACAACATCCCGTACATGGTGGCAGTGGTTGGATGGAGGATTTGGGACTGGGAAAATTTTTGATAAGCTGGGACCTCCTGTCTATCGGCCAAATTGCTTTTGGTAAAGTTTGCCTGTAACGAGCCAAAGTTGGAAGGAACATAATCAATATAAGTGGCAGAGCAAAGTTTTTCCATCTTCCCCAGCTGGTAATTAGGTAAGCTGTGTCCGGCAGCCCCGAACCCCGAAGGATATAAGTTAATTTGGGTGTGTTAGGTCAGGGATTAGCCCAGCCAGCAAAACACAGATAAAGCTCAAGTGATTGATGGGAGGACAAGGAGGTTTTGTATCCTTTGCGTATACGTAATATTGAAAGCCTCTACTACGATATTTTTCTTTGTCGCATGAAAAGGATCTTGCCTTTCAAAATACTTTAATAAAAGAAGTAATATTTAAAATGTCTTGCTAAATCATTTAAATAGTTAAATACTTCTAGCAACAGTCATTTTTGTCATACTTATCCCAATTTGCTTACAAGGCATCTCGTTATGAGCCATCAAATAAAACCAGCAGGCGTGAAATTGAGATACATTCAAAAAGTAAATAAAAATAGGGTTACATATGCCTGGATCCTGCCGAGAGAGATTACCTCCGCTCTTATCTAGACTTCAACGACACTCGGGAAAAGTTTAAGTCGCTTTTCCTTCATGTCTTTTGATTTATTGCCCCGACAGTTTAATTTAGCTTCATGTGGCGAAGCAGGCACGCGCCTCCTCAGAGAATCATGCCACTCCCCCTCAGTCTCCTCTAAGCTTGTCACGTCCTCAGGAGGCAGGAACAAGGCTCATTGTACTCTTGACTTATTTCCGAAGGCTGTTTTTGTTGCCGTTAATTCTCCCCCTCAACCGCTAACTAACTGTGCCCATAAATTCTCGAACATCTTTCAGGAGCTTGTATATATGTACCAATATTCAATTTTGACCGAAAACATGCAAATTTCAGACAAAACCAAGTGTCGTAAAAAAATAGATAAAAATCTATTGTTTGTTGTGGGAGAGGAGGGTAGAGGTTGTTTTTTTGATTAATGTTCGGAGAATGTTGGCTGTCAAACAAAGTACAAAAGGCAAACACTTGTTTGGCTTCCAACCATTTATACTCCAGTTAAAAATAAGTGGATTTAATAGCTACTAAACTTTCATAAATTATGTTTGCCAGAGATATTAAATGATAAATTTAATATTAACTGAGGCAGGCAAAGATGATTTAATAATGTCTGGGGCTTGTTCAGCATAAGAGATAATTTACTCAAGAGTTCCATTTATCAAATGTGTTCTAGTTAAATAGGTTATCAACTTAAGTATTTAAGAATATCAATTGAAATAAGTATCTTCTCTGAAAAAATTAACTTCTCCCAAATTAGTTTTCGTGATTTAAGAAACCCTTCCTCTCCTATCTCTCTGAATTTAATATGAAATTCCGGCCCAGGTAAGCCACCAATTTCCCTGTTAAATCTCATTGATAAGGTGTCAGCGAAATTAGCATATTAAATCCACAAGTATCCGACTTGCTTTATTATGCCTCGTTCCGCCTCGTTCCAATCCTATATCGCTTGTTGAATTCTCATTCGGAATCGCTTTTGTTTGCACCTCCAAAAAGAGGCTGCCGCCATGAAGTTTTAATTTTATCCACGCGGCATTTGCTCTTCGCTTATTTATAATTTAAGAAGGAAGGAGAAGTTGTACACACACCAGCATATGCCCACTCACAGCCTACCCCGGACGCGTAAACGTAAATTCACTCGATGTAGATACGTACTTTTCGGGAGCTCCGGGTTCTCGCTTTTCCGGACTCCGCGATGCTTCGTCGTCAGTTGCTATTGTTACACTAAATTTGTTTTGCCGCCTGTAGCTGCTTCTTGGCTTCTGCTTCTGGTTCTGGCTCTGCTTTTGGCAGTCTGATTTGTTCCATGATTTCCTCTGACGAAACAAGCTTCGTGAGTCTGGGCCGTCGGATCCGTTTGGGAGTCGGAGCTTTTTCCCTTTTAGCCGGGACGTCGTCGTTGGGGCGAATGAAGCGTGTGTCGTTGGCGGTCAGGCCTTTTATAGCTCCCCCCGCAGCCGGGTTGCAGTTGAAGCAATGTTTCCGGGCCACTTACGACCTCCGTGCCTGCGCCTCGACACGCACTTCCCTGTTTGACCATGTCCGCCGTCATCATCATCATCATTATCATCATCGTCACAATCGGACTTGGCAGTCAATGCTCTTTGGCTCAATTGCCACTTTCTCTCCTTCCAATACAGTATCAACATTGACACACAAACGAAAGGAGTCATTTTTCTCACTGTTCGCTTTCTTTAAGGACCTCCCATGCCCATCGTGCCAACCGGCTTATGTATGTATGTGTATGTGTCGTGTTTGCGTTCTCGGCATTCCGTGCAAAATATTGTCCTTTGGGTCTTACGGTATTGTGTTACTGTTAAAACGATGTCCCAGGGATGGCAAATGATAAATCCTGTGAAGGCAAATAAACATTTATATTACAAATATTAAATAAATACCCTTTGGGGTAAAAAGAATAGGATCTTCAATATGCAGGATTTATATAAATATTCTCATTTCCTAAAATCACATAACTAATAATCAAAAACGGACATTCTTCAAGCAAAGTAATATTATGGTAACAATAGCTGGCTCTTTCAGGCTCCAAAAAGTAGGCAATATTTTTGGATATGATTTTATTTGTATGCTTTTACTAAAGTTTGTTTTATCCTAAAACTATTAAATGTATGCTTATCTTTTTATAGTTATGTATCCGATTTCCCTTTTCAACTTTATAGTCTCGACTCCCTGGATGATTTCTAACAGTCTGTCAAATGTATCATTGTGGTAGCCTTTCGCTTTTGCTTTTCCCATTTCCCATTTCACATTTCCAAGTTCCCTCTTCCTTTCCATTTCCCTTCTCCCTAGGTGAAATGGCTTTGGGGCATCTGTACTTAATGCCATTCCGTTTTCACGCATACTTCAGCAATAAATACACACAATCGACTGTGTTTTGCTGTGTATGTGAGCCATGGGTCCTGGCTACATATTTGATGGGTTGTTTTAAAGCAATTTAAAGAGGATTCTGCAATTTAACGAATGGAGGAACCGAAAGCATTCTGGCGCCCAAAACAAAACTTTCGTCCTGTTCAACCGAAATGGATTTTCTCGGCGAGCTTTTTAAATAAACGTTGACAATTTTATGGGCAGCACATGAATTGGCAAACTGATGATAATGTGCCGGATTGGGGTCCACAGCCGAGCAGGGTCAGGTCAGGCATCCCCTTGTCAGGCACAGGGAAGGGAGATTTTTGGCATGCTTAAAAGCCACTCAAAATGCCATTAATAACACAAACGACAGGCCCGCGTAAAATGAGAAACAACGCAAAAACTACAAAGACATCCAGTCCTGTCCTTTGCTTCCCCAAAGGAACAACTTAATGACTGCGTTATGCGATTAATTGCACTGTAAGAAATATTGGTATTAGTTAAAGTCACTGCGGTCTTAAAACTCGTTTGGATATAATCCTGACAGTTTATTAGGTAAAAAGCTAAATATTTTCTAAAATTTATTAAAGAGTTGTATAGCTTTCTTTCTTTCTGTGTGATCATTATCAGCGAGGCTTCAGAATTAATTGCTCAACGTCCAGAAATTTGAGCCTGACTCTTCTCTATACACGCAGAATGACTTAATTTAATTTCTATGGAGGAGTAGAAGACACCCACCCTGTACCCATATTGGAGGCTTATATGAGCTTATGATTGCCCATCGTGATGGTGTTCAAAGCGACACGCAAGTCGCCCATAACAATTATTAAAAATGGATTTTCGGAAATAGGGGTTGTCTATTGCTTGGTATATTCCTTTAACAGTTTATACTATTTTGCCAGAAGGTGCCAAATGACCTGGTACACTTAAGTCGGCCAAAAATAGGGAATAACTTTAACAGTTTATTTGATTGGAGGTCATAATGAACTCTTTTTATTATAATAACATAACACCCAAAACGGAAAGAGGTGAATTCTCTTTAATTGCAACGGATTACAAAGCCACAGGTGTCGTACAATCTTTCAGTGCATTCGGTGCTTAATAATGAAAACTGTTTAGAATGGTATCTTAGCCCTCCGGTGGTCCCTCCAGCAGCCAATACGTTTCCATTTCTCCCTTGCCCTTGACCTTGACTGTGCCGCGTGATTCGACCTTGTAGCCCACCTGGCGCACCTTCTCGGCCGTGTATGTGGACAGCTGGATCTTCCAGGGATCGCTGCTACTCTCCATCCGTGAGGCGGTATTAACGGTGTCTCCGAAGAGGCAGTAGCGCGGCACCTTCTGGCCCACAACTCCCGCTACCACGGGTCCAGAATTGATTCCCACCCGAATGGCCACTTCGCCCATGTCATGTGTTTTGAACTTCTTCATCACGCGTAGGGCCATATCGCAGGCGTGCTCGGCGTGAAGAGGATTTACGTCTGGAGCACCAGAAACAGCCATGTAAACCATGCCAACGGTCTCCACCTTGTACACAAACGGAGAAATGATCTCCTCATCCAGAGAGGAAAAAACCTTGTTTAGAGTATTCACGGCCTGCATGGCTCCCTGGATGCTATTCAGACCTCCATCGTAGACATTGAGGACCTCAAGGAAGATGACAGACACTTCCTCGAAGCTCTGGCAGACCTGCTCTTGGCTATGTCGCATACGCTCTGCAATGGGTCGGGGAATCATGGAGTACAGGAGCTCATCGCCCTGACGCTTCCAAGAGTCGGCCAGTTCCAGGGACTTCTCCAGCTCATCTGATCGCTGCTCCTCCTTTTCAAACATTATCTCCAGCTTAGAGCAGTGCTGCCAGCCAGCCATGACGAGCTCTCGGCTCAGACCGTGCGGATTAAGGTCGTTTAAGTACAACCCAATCCCGTGCAGTTCATCCAGGTTCTCGATGAGCGGGCTACAGAGAAAGATCAGCGAGTCCACGTCCTTAATGTAGAACATCTGTCCCTTCAAAAGGATCGAGCGAAGGCCTTGGGAAGATCGTCGCTCTCCCGTGGCCGGGTCAATCTCATCCTCTCCCGAGGCTTCATCCTTGTCCACCGGATGTGCATCGTTGAACTCTTTAGCCTTAGCCAGGGCCATTGTCTGAGCCTCGTTTAAGTCCATCTCGTCATAATTCTCAAAGTCCATATTCAGCACGGCATCGTAGGCGGCACGGTTGTGACCTGTCCGAATAAGCTCGAACTCAAAGAGGACTGCCCTCATCTGTATTAAAGTTGCCCAGTCAATGGTGGTATCCTTGGGCCTCCGGCAGTGGAAAAGGTCCATGACATGTGTGCCGATGAACCCCTTGGGATTGGCGCCAGGATTGTGCATAATCCACGTCTCCACTATTTTCTCGCCGGCATGCGTGATCTTCATGTCGTGGTTCAGCACAATCGTGAAAGGAAACAAGTCTAGGAAAACGTTTAGATTGACTGTAGGCATCCGGAGCTGCGATGGATGGGCCTCCGTGTTGACTCGCTTGGCCATGTACTCTCTGTTATCGAAGTCCAGTCGATACTTGACAATCACCGTAAGGGGGCCATCAGCGAGCTTTATAGGCCCAGCTGTGCCTCCGGTGATGTCGTTCTGACTCTCGATCACGTAGGCCTTGATACCCAAGCCGTAAAACTCCCTGGCCACCTCCGTCATCTGTCCGATAAGATACTTGGACATTCCTGTGCGACTACTCCTGTAGAGGATCACAGCTCCGTCGTCATCCATATTGGTCAACTGCATGCTGGGTGACTTCATCTTCGGATATGTAAAGCGCATGATGAGATGGATGTTGTCAATTGATTGTAGGAAATCGCAAAAGTATCTCCCGGTGGACCGAATCATCTTGTCGTAGCCAAAGTTGCTGAAGAAGCGCACGAAGCACTTTCCGAAGAAGTTCATGCAGAAGTCGAAGGACTCGCCGGTGCAGGCGGATAAGGCAGCGGCAATGTCTGGCATTAGCTTGTCCGGATAGATCTGGTGCGTCTTGAAGCTGTTATGTTTGCAGTCGATGATATGGCAAACCTTCTTCCAGACATCTACGCCATACTCCTCCTGCACGTAGTGCTGGACACTCTCGTAGAGCATTCCATACATGTTGAGAAATATTGATGATTATCCTACTCTGGATTACCTACAAATTAAAAGCAGAGACATGTAAAGAAATTTTTAAGATACAGTCTTAAAAAATAATAATAATAATAATAATAATATTTCACTATATTACTTTTAAAATATATTATCTTTGAAAACATTATTAATAAGAGAATATATTAAGGTTTTTTATGGAGTTATAAAGAGTACGACTTTAAACAAAAGCCTTTAATTTATATATTTAATACGTCATTATAAAGAAATTCTCTTTTCTCTTTAATTCTCCATTTAACAAAAAGGTATTAAAGCGAATCATGTACGAATCCTGCGTACTACACCTACATACCTTGCTCAACTGGTATCAACACGGTTTAAATGAGCTTAAATCCCTATGTGTGCCGCTTTTAAAGCTTAAGTAATTCCTTGTTGGTGTGGCTTTTATTTAAGTTTTAGTTGGCAATTTTCTGCTGCGGCTTCTGCCCGTTATTTATTTATAATTCCCGGAAAATTCAATTTATGAACACACACACTCTGGGGCATATGTTGCCTTCAGTTCCCACAGGACTACGCACACGCACTAACGCTCAGCAAAGGAACACTTTTCCCATTGTTTGCTCTGCCTGTTACTTTGATTTTGCCGGCTTGTGGATGATGCCATAGTATCCTTGGCCGGTGTGTAGTCGAGAGTGTTGAAGCTTTGCAGGTCGCACTCCGTGTGCGAATGAAACGTTTGGCCTTCGTGGTCGGGTCTTTTATACTCAACGACGGCCCGACACCCACTTCGCACACCACCTCCGCACACCCTTGCTAAGTGGGAAATGTCTAAGCCCGCACCATCTTTCTCCTTCCAAGACTGCAAACGGAGCCCTCTTCAGCAGTGTTAGATTTCATGTCATTGCTCCTTGTTGATGCCAATCGACGGTTACTTTTCGATAAAGTATAAAAAATGAAGTATTTTACCCTGTTTTATTGCTTTTGTAACAATAACTTACACGCACAAACGAACCCGGGGTCTGGAAGTGTAGAGTTTGTCACCTAAATCTTCATAAAGGACGGAAAATTTATGGAAAGTTTCGGGTTGCCTGCTTCCCCCAATCTGTGTAATATTCTATGTACTATTTTCTGTTATTTTTTTATGTAGAATTTATTGGTTAGCATTATGCCACAATTTACATTAACAGTTAAGAGGATTTAAAAATTCCACAGCATATATTTTGGGGAGCTCACACACATAGCCGAAGGAACTTATGCATGCACACAAAAGCTGACATTTTAATGAGCCTTCCTGGCCTTAAAAGTGATGATAACGGTTATGCAGGACTGCTATTTGCATTAGCACCCTCTTCCGGTCCTCCACAGCGGCCATAAACGTGACAACGTATTTAATTAGAGAGCACAGCCCTTAGCCATCCCCAAATTGATTGGCGGGCCACGTGCAGCAAGGGCGTTGACATCTCACTTGTAGCTCACGTCGCCAAAGGTAGACTATAGATCTATCCTGAATCCCTAACCGCCAATCAGCAGACACGCAATCTAGAAATAAATGTTGTAAAATACGACGCCGAACGCAAAAAATGATGAAACCATTTGATTGATGAGTCGGTTCAATTAGGACATCCCAAAGCAAAGCCGCTAACCAGGTAAGCACGTCCCAAAGAATTTCCAAAACAATTATATACAATATGTATATATTAAATCGATATTTTCAAATAAAACTAAGCCAAAAAGTAATTAGTTTCAATTCGGATAGCTTTTGTGTACTCATTTCTTATAGGGTTAACAAATTGAGCTTTAAAATTTAAAAAGTCAATATTTTTCTCAAATTTTGACAATTTTAACGACGTAACCCCTTATGACATGGCTAGAACGACTCTGCTGTTCGAGTCGAGTCTCGAGTCTTTCACAAAATTACAAGCTTCTAACTGAAAATAGAATACCCGGCGAGCAATGTATGTGCTGTTGAATATTACTCAAAACTAACACAAAAATAAATTAATAACAAAAATTAAAAAATGATTGTAACGTATATCTTTCCCCCGAAGGATAACACTTAAAATCTCATCATCACATAGAAAATCCGCTCAGTGCATTATTATTAGATACAGTAGACGTATATGGAAACTAAGTGAAAGAATTACCGTCTTAATCTATTTTCCCAGCCCGACTTTGTTAAAGAGCTTATCTTTGACGATCTGGGCCATGAGGCCGTGTATCAGTTCAATGGTTGAGCGGCTGCAGTCTCGCGTGGCCTTCGAAAGCTTGTCCTCGGAGCGCTTCTCATTGACATCGGTACCTGTGGAGAGCAAAACTGATTATTAACAAGAACAACTCTTTGATTGGGCTTTTTATGTACCGCGACCTAAAAAGTTCTCACTCTGCTCAAGCTTCTCAGAGAGGTCCATAATCTGGCCAGTGGTGTACTCCGTGTTTGTCAGCAGCCCCGAGCTGCCCAGTGTGTTTACCCAGTATTTATTCCACAGCGAGTCAAGCAGCTTGCGGTCGAGGGCCGACTTGAAGTAGCTAATGTCCAGCGGATAGTACTGCTTGCAATGGACGCCAAAATCTTCAATTTTGTTTAGTGGGATAGTCTGGTACTCTGAGGGCTCCTCGTTTGGCGGCTTGTAGCCCTTCGGATACGTGCGGAAAGCGCCAAGGCACACCTTGCCAGCGGAAACAGTGCGCACCGGGTCTACCACAATAGCCACGAAGGGCTCCTGGTACGTCTGATTTAACATCTGTGTGGACACATCGATTCCGGACAGCCAACAGCCGTAGCCGGGATGGCTGTGGTACCAACCAACGGCATGCTCCATACGGCCCACCTCCTTGGCGGCCTCCATGTAAGCGGTCATGTACTCATAGGCCTGGGCCTGGGCATTGACGCGGGTCTCGGTTCCCTCCACCGGCAGCGCAAATGCGTCCATGACAATCTGTAAGGCATTAACTTGAGCAGCGGCTCTCGTCTCGTCTCTAACCTCTTTTGTTCACTCACCATTGTGTTGTCCTCCACCTTGCCCAGCATTAGACCCATCACCTCCAGGGTGCCACCAGAACGGGCGTGCATGACCATTTTGAGCAGCGCCAGGGCCGAGATCTTGATGTCTTTGAAGAAGTGCGGATCCTTCTCCCAGGGCTTGGCGTCAATGATTTGGCGCTGCTGCTCGGCGTCATAGCGGAAAATTTCGTCACAGCTGGGCAGAGTCTGGATGTTGTTCTCCAGTTCCCAGGTTTTTTGGGCGGCGTCCGAGTCCATTGCGTGTATTTTGCCAATATTTTCCGAATTCTTCCCAATTTCGTTTTTGTTCCGGCTTTTGTTGAAAACAGTGTGACCTCAAACTAATTGATAAAAAATACCATATGGCCAAGGGTGCAGTTTTTAACATACGGTCACATTACATGTACACTGTAATGAATTAGAATGAATTATTAACAATAAAAAATATAATAAATAATAATAAAATGGTAATAATAATAAAAAAAAAAATTTAAATCATATGGCCAAGGGTGCAGTATTTACATTTACACTATAATACATTTTAATGGATTATTAACAATAATACAATATTTATGGGTTAGTTACACATATTCTCTAATTTTGCATTAAATCTCTATTAAATCTAACCCAAAGATTTTTAAAAATTAGCGTTTTCTTTTTCCGATCTCATTCACAAACACTGGCTTCATATCGATAGAGGTGCCTCCCACACCCTATCGATAAAAAGCCCACCAGAAATTATTCCTATTGACCATTTAAACAATTGTATAAAATATGCATGCCCCATGAATGGAATTGACATTCCAAGCATTTTGGTAGATGTTTCATCAAAATCCGTTCAGTCGTTCATGAGAAAACATCCCTTTTTCACTTATTTCCATAAATGTTCCTTCGAAGAATAAATAAATCTGTCAGCACTGTTTGCCTAAAATTAACTCAACTTGATTTAAACCTTATAATAAAACTTATGAAAGCTGAAGATCGTACCATTAACGGGATCGCTATTCTGAACATTTTGATCGACGTTTCGTCAAATTCCGTTCAGTCGTTCATAAGAAATCTCGACTTTTTCATTTATTTCTATTAATGTGTCAGCGAAGAATAAATATATCCCGCAGCCCTGCCCGCCTAAAAACCAAGAAGACTTGATTTAAACTATATGGTTAAACCTGTGCGAAAGGAAGATTGTCCCTTTGACGGCATCGCAATTCTGAACATTTTGATATATGTTTCATCAAAATCCGTTCAGTCGTTAATGAGAAATTCCGATTTTTCATTTATTGCAGTTGGGTACCAGGGGTGCATAGTCATGCCTCCTTAGTATATAAATTAGAAATTCAAATGTTAATTTCTCCAAAACGACTGAACGGATTTCGATGAAACACCTACCGAATTGCTCAGTATAACGATATCATTTATTGGACAGACTATTAAATGTTATTTCGAAAATTTGTTTTTCAAATCTGGTGCTTCAATGCCCTTGCTTTGTAATATGATTTCAGGTCAAAAATTTGCAACTCAGTGAATAAATTATTTCCGACCCTATAAAGTATATATATTCTTGATCAGCATCAACAGCCGAGTCTATCTAGCCATGTCCATCTGTCTGCAGTCACTTTTCTTAATGTTTTATTCAACAAATTGCTATTTTTATTTAATTTAGTATTTTTCTTAACATGGTTCCATGGTCTGGTTCAGCGAGTGGTTCTCTGCTGGTTCCCATCTGGTTCCATTTTCATAGTTCGCGCCTTAGATATCAGCCCAAATACAAATACACCACCCACTATTATTAGATTTTCTCTAAATCTGACGGTTAAAAACAATTGAAATTTTCACGACATATTCCTTAATCTTCTCCTAGTAAGCCTATATACCGTGCATATGTGCACACGTTCGTAAATCGAAGTTATATGCCTTACAATTTTTTGATGCGAGTTGGCAGCTCCGTTACGCTTCGAAATTCGAATGTAACGCCTACGGTGGCGCGCTAAAAACAAGTTGGCATTCCGGACTTGCGCGTCCATTGCAAAAAAATTCCTGCACAGAAAGATATATCGGGACGCTTGTGATGTAGGCCAAAATTAAAGTCAGTGCGTGAAAGGTGTAACACAAAACAGTGAAAACTTGATAGAATAAGTGTTTGCTTCATTCGGTAAACCGGCTAATCCTCTAAGCCGCAAAGTCCAACATCGTTTTCGCATTTCGGTTTTTTACTTTCCCCGCACCCAAGCCGCAGTTGCTGCGCTCACACTCCGCCGGCCGCTGAAAAAATGTCTCTGAATGGCGCTCGGCTGCGCTACGTGGACGAGAATGGGGAGGAGGTGTTGGTGCCGGCCAAGGGACGCACCTTTCAAATCGGCTCCTACTTTAGCTGCGACGTGATCCTGGAGCCGCAAGCGGAGCGCCTGATTTGCGAAATAACATGCGACGCCTTCGGCAGGGTGAGTATAATGATTGTCTGGGATGTTGAGAACTAGCCGCCTGAAATAGTCGGTTTTTGTCTTCCCTAGGTCACTCTCCTTAACCAGTCCAACAAGGATACTGCGATCCACCTGAATGACAAAATCATTCACGGTCAGCGCAGTCATCCGCTGCTGCACGGAAACAGGATCACCATTCTGGACAGGGTGTACACCTGGGAGTCCCTTAAGATGTCTGGCTCAGAGGATGTCGCGAGCACCCCGGAGCGGCTGCCGCCCGTTGAGCAGGCGCCGAACTCCTGCCCCTCGTTGAAGGTGAGTGGCGACACAATCTCTACCACCAAGTACAGTTTCTTGAGACCAATTTGACGCCTTCCCTATCTATGTTTGCATTTGCAGACCCATCGTCCACAGATCGACAAGCGTCTGACAGTGCACAAGTAAGTAAAGCAGCGCAGGCATTCGGCAGCGACCTTATGACTGGGCCAGGTAGCGGCCGCCAACCCCTAAAATGGCTTGAGCGCGCCCGACCCAGAACAACTACAACAATAGGAAAAAACAACATATTTTCGGCATGTGTCTTAAATCGCCTGTTAATTGTCCTTATAAAACTCTGTTTTTCGGGTATCCCTTTAGCTTTCACTACAGCATAAACTCGGATGACGAGGGGAACACATCCATAGAGTCGCGGGACCAAAACGAATCTCACTTGGACGGCCAGGAGAGCTTAAATTTCTCGACTCCACCAAGCACAGAGTTGTCATCGTGCGAGACGCCCAAAGTCGATCTAGTAGAGGCGACCCAGAACAAGGAGAACACCGCCACACCGACGGCTAGCCACCAGTTGTTGCAGCTTTGCGCTCTCTCGGACGTGGTCATTACATCCTTCTCGCCCCGAGAGACTGGTGTTAAGGTGGAGAAGTCCTTTACCTGCGTACGGAAGCCAACCAAAATTGGAAAATCTGCGGCATCCATATCCATGTCCACGCCGAAGAGTGTGTACAGCACCCCGAAAGGGGGAGTGCTGTCCGAGTTGAATGACGACAGCTGCAGCCGCGATCTGATGGACTTCAGCACACCTTCAACCTCGAAAAGGACCCATCGGCAGTCGTCCATGTATTTGATCGATCTGACCACACCCTCGAAGCTTCGACCTTCTCTGAAGTCAACACCAATTAGCGTGGACAGCACGGACGAGTCATCGGAAGGTTCTCCCATCGTCATTGACATAACAAAATCGGCCACGCCGCCTACACCAGGACGGTCCCATCTGGCTAAGACGCCACAGCGACTAGCCAATGCCGTCGCCGCCACACCCACTCGCACACCGCAGTCCCTGATGAAACGGGCGCTGCTCACCAGCACCAAGAAGAAACAGATCGCTGCCAACCAAATGGATAAAACACCCGTAGCTACCCCAAGTAGACCAACCCCGCGTAGCCGTATCACACCGCGCATGCCATTCGTTTCAGTTCCTACGCCTGAACAAAGAGAAGAGTGGCGCGCAGCCGCCTTAAAGAACAGCCAGACACCCAATAGCATACCTCACAAGCGGCAATCCCTTCACCTTGGGACGCCAAGAGATAACAAGCTCTCCCAGATAAGAAAGTCACTAGCGGCTGCCAAGCGCAGTCCCACCGTAGACAGGAGCTTCAAGCTGAAGGCGAAGGCCCGACGTACGCTGAACTCGCCGAAGAGTAGCTCCCTGAAAACGGGGTCGTCCACACCAACAACCTTCAATTTGTCACAACCCAAATGTTCCACTCCGGAGAAGCTTGACGATTCTACGAAAGACGAGTTGAGTCGCACTTTCACAATCATGAACGATAGTGGGGACCCGGCTGAAGAAAGTTCTATAGCTGTTGTCACTGGAGAAATTGACAATAGTGTTGCTTCTAAGATTTCAGAGACTACTCTTCCACCAAAAGATAAAGGAAAAGATCCGTGCGTAGAGCTGATAGAGAATCAGAAATCTGATGTGGAAATGATAAAATATCCAAACAAAGACGATTCCATACAGTGCGAAAATGCAACGCAATCGTTTGAGGAATCATGCCAAGAAGCAGACCATCTTGTTGACAATCAAAGCACCGAAAATTGTTCCATTCAAGCCAACGAAGGAGTAGACATCATTGAAGATAGTATTTGTGAAGAGGTTCACGCAAGCATTCCCCCAGAAATAGATGATAATGGTAATAGAGGATGATTTTTAAATTGCGTTATTTAAAATATACTTATATATTTTTTTTTTCTTAATATTACAGAAAAGCTTCCGAAAGTAATTGATGCTTGCGAGAGGGAGTCACCAAATATTAAGTCTTCTGATACTGTTGCAGAAGGTAAGTGAACAAAATTTAAAAAGAAATAGTAAAACCAAGTTTTAATTTTTACCAGCAGAAGAGAACATTGAACCAACGCCTCAAGTTGAAACTCCCATGCTTCGAAGAAGTTCGCGACGACTCTCTGTTGACCAGAAAGTAGGCGTCGCCACAACACCACGTCAAGACAGGAGCACTCGCAGAGGTTCTGTGGGGGCCAGCAGGAGCCAGGCAGATACGAAGACGGAGGGCAGCAAAAAGGGCACACGAAGAGCGTCCTGTTCGGCGTTGGTGGATAGTCAAGAAGTCATCGGTACGCCGCGTCGCAAGCGTCGATTATCAGAGCAAATAAGCACACCAACGAGACAATCCAAACGTCTGATGATGAACACACCCAAATCCACAGTTGAAGTCGATGATTCCATAGGCGATATGGGTGTGATTGTAGAGGAAGATGATGGTAATTAATTTAATATTTGTTGAGATACGTAGACATCCATTAAAGTATTTCGAGCTAATTCTATCGTTTTGGTTCCAGATGAAAAATCTTCCATTGTGGACGACGAGAATTATGGAAAGGAGCTGCCATGTGATGAGCCGGATAATGTCGACTATCACGGTCTGAGGGATCTCTTAAAGACGCCTAAAAATTGCAGCACACCTCGCTTCAAGGGGCTGCGGGAAATGATGCGCACTCCCAAGGTTCCCGCTTCTCCAATTTTCGGTAATATTGAAGAGTTGCTGGATAATTCTATTGGAGGTATCACGCCCCATCAAAACAAGACCACCAGGAGCATCACAGTGGGTCGGGTCGCAGTAGAAAATGGCAACGCATTGGAGGGAGTTTTAAAGACTCCAAGCGCCAGGAACATAATGGTGCCCAACGAACCAGCAAGTGCCGTATTAAAGTCCCGAGGGGATTCCTTAGCAACAGCCACCGAATACGAACTGGACATGACAAATACCACGTTGCACCTGGACAAAATCTTTGATGATGTGCCGAGCACTTCAGTTGCCAACATGGAGGACACCGAGGCAGAGATAAATGTGACAGCTCTTAGTACAGCGTCGGGACTGGATCCCCTGAAAGAATCTGTGTCATCCGAGCTACCTATGAGTGTCTGTAAATTGGAAACCACTGGTTTGGCTTCCCATAAGAATGATCCCCTTACTAGCACTACATACAAGACAGTCATGCAGGCAGATCTTGAACTGAGCACCACCATTGCCGAGGATGGCGAACCGTCCTCTAGGCCTAGCTCACTGAGCTCGAACGATTTGAGTGGCATGCAGTTGCTGGATCAAACCTCAGACTCCATGTTCTCCGAGCCGCTGATAGTGTCCGGCGTGGAATCGTGCAACGTTACCGTGGATGAGACAAAAGCTTTAGGACAGACCACCCATCAAACGTTAGATCTCAACGATGTCGACTCAGACTCAAACATAGGACTGACTGAGCCGCTTGTATTGAGCGACGATGATGATGATGATGCTGTAGTGGTGAAGGATTCAAGTGTGACTCCCAAGAAATCAATAGCTCGCAAGGAGGTTTCCATAGCCTACAATATCGAAGAATCCGTTGCTTCGAAGGATACTACACTAAATCGGTCAAAATTCAACGAATCTGAAAATGAGACTTCAGCTTTAGGCGAAACCAAGAATAATTCATTGATTGAAGAGGTCTCGCTGATTGAAGTTACTGAAAGTATAGCAGGCGACAGCATTAGTACAACCAAAGATGAAAAATCCTTGGTATTCGAGCTAGACAGTTCGAGCTACACGGATGCAGGACCTACAGAAGAGAACAATGAATCCGCAGCCGCCGAATTGACCATTGTAGATAGTGAAATTTTTGCCTTGGACTCAACACAAGAGGACGAAATTTTAACTTGCGTGGATGAAAAACCAGTCGAGTCTGGGTCTGAAGAAGCCGGATTAGTAACCGAAGCTCAAACTCATCCTTTGGATCTACAAATAGAAAATCCTCTGCCTTCCGAAGAAGTGTTGGAGAAGCGCAGGACAACTGATGTGGCTGTGACACATGAAGAAAAAGGAAATGCGGTATCCGAAGCTGTAGACTCAGAATCTCTCCCTCTTGATACAACAGCAAATAGTTCCGTCATAGTGGATGAAGAGCTTTCAGCTAAGAGTGACAAGAAACCTATCGATTCCGATTCCACAATAACTGAAGAATGTTTACCAGATAAATTTGCAGATCAGTCAATAATTAATTCTTCAACTAGCAATGATCTAACGAAAGAAAATACAATTGAAGACGATGTATCCATATCCTTGGACTCCGAAACTCTTTCTCGCGGTTCAACAGGAGATGAGCATGTGGCTTTAGAGGAGAAGATTTTAACTAACGTTGACCAGCAACCTATTAATACCGACTTCTCAGATACTAAAAAGATGCAATTGCAGAGAAAGATCAGTCAGTACCTTCCAAAGAACTAATAGAAGAAAAATTACTGAACATGGTGAGAAAGAAAATGATGTCTCAGTTGTTGTGGACACCGAAAGTCTTTCTCTTGACTCAACAGCAGATAATATTCTTACAAAAGAAGAGATTTCAACTAACGCTTTGTCTCCCAAGGAACTGGCAGATGAAAAAGAAATTAATGTATCTGCAGTCGTGGACTCCGAAATTCTTCCTTTTGATTTAACAGCACATAATTCCGTCGTTGTGGAGAAGGAGCATTTAACAAACATTGACCAGAAGCCGAGCGATTCAGAATTGCCAATTCCTACAGAGGAGTTAGGTGGGCAACCAAGAACAGATGTTCCAGTAATCAACGCCTTTATATCGGAAGAACAAACAGAAGATAAGATAACTAGAGTTAATACAACTGAAACTGCTGCAACTGTGGACATCGATATTTCTCCTCTCGATTCAACAGCAGATAGTTTCGCCATTGATATCAATACGCAGGCGGAGCTTTCAACAAATAATGACCAAAAATCAATCGATTTAGAGCCCAATAGCAAAACTGCCGAAGAGGATTTAGCAGTAATCGACGTTTTACCTTTCGAAGAATCTGCAACTGATAAGTTACCCGATGATGCAAAGCCCTTTGGTTCAACAACTGAGAATATGCCTGTAGACGTTCTTGGTCAAGATGCTGAGCAAAATAATATTGATAGTATTTCTACAGTAACAACGCCAGAAGCTGGCGAAGATTCGGATCCTAAAGAAACGGAGACAGATGCAGTAACAACGCCAGAAGCTGGCGAAGATTCGGATCCTAAAAAACGGAGACAGATGCAGTAACAACGCCAGAAGCTGGCGAAGATTCGGTTCCTAAAGAAACGGAGACAGATGCAGTAACAACGCCAGAAGCTGGCAAAGTTTTGGTTTCTAAAGAACCGGAAACAGATGCAGTAACAACGCCAGAAGCTGGAGAAGATTCGGTTCCTAAAGAAACGGAGACAGATGCAGTAACAACGCCAGAAGCTGGCAAAGTTTTGGTTTCTAAAGAACCGGAGACAGATGCAGTAACAACGCCAGAAGCTGGAGAAGATTCGGTTCCTAAAGAAACGGAGACAGATGCAGTAACAACGCCAGAAGCTGGCGAAGATTCGCTTTCTAAAGTAACGGAGACAGATGCAGTTACAACGCCAGAAGCTGGGCAAGTTTTGGTTTCTAAAGAACCGGAGGCAGATGCTAAACCAAGTACATCAGAGGCGTCCTTTGTTAAAGCTGAAACACATGATGATGCAGCTGACAAACCTACGGCTGAGTCTGAAATCACATTAGATGAAATAGAAATCCAGAAAGGTGATGTTGAGGAATTGCCTACTTCCATAACCACTCCTTGCATCCATGACTTCGAAGTAGTATCTCAGAAGGAGGAATCAGCTCTAGAACCTTCTGTGAGTCCACGTCCAGCCAATATTGGGGTTGAGGAAACGTTAGCTGTACAGCATACAGATCTAATCGACCAGGACCAGGAAGCCCAAGAAAAATCCTCCATTCAAGAATATATTAAGGAAAATGCAGCTATGAAAGAAATTATGGAAGACAAGAATCCATGTGGCGAACAAAAGACTAATGGTGATGAGACCAAGATTCTTGCTACCGAAGAGACTTCAAAACAAAACGAAGCGGATAAAACACAAATAGAATCCATATGTGAAGCAGAATCAGATAAGGAGAAAACTACTACTATCTGCGATTTGTCAATGAATGAATCAGCTCCCGTCACAACTGCTGGAAAGAGTCCCTTACCATTAGAAGACGTGAATCAACCAGAAGAATCCAATGTAGCAGATATAACAGCTGTCGAACCGCAGGATATGGAAGTAGCAGCGAGTGACGACTTAGCTAAAGATGAGGTAAATGTTAACAAAACGCATGTTGTTGCGGACGTTTCAACTCCGTCGGAAATAGCACATAATGAAAGCAGCGGTCAGGAGCCAGTATCTCCCATAGACGTCCCACCTACAGAACTTTTGACTGACAAGAAAAACGACCTGAATACGAGTTCTACGAAAATTGAATCCTTCACTGAGCAGCCAAAGCCCGCCAGCACTGAAACAATTCGATCTAAAAATGAAACTATTCAAGCCGACTCTGAGGATGAAATAAATCAGCTGGATAAATCGAGCATAGCTGAGGAAGTTGGAGAAGATTATGTTGTACAAGAAACGCCAAAGGCTAAAGCTTTTGTAAATGATCGGAATGTTACGTCGTCCAGCGAAGAAATGAGAGCCCAAGAAGTGGATCTTAACCCGATAGAAGAGTTTTCAGACCGTCTCAAAAAATCGAATGAAGTTGAAGAAACTTCAATTGATAGTTCAGCTAAGGAGTCTACTACGGAACAGACCTGCCAGATTATTCCATCTGCTACCGCAGCAGATTCGTCAACACATTCCTCAGAATTAATAAAAGATGATTCCGTTACAGAACAGCAAGGAGTAGATATATTGAATTCTTCAGCTCCATTGGAGGCTTCTTTATTGTCAGCTGCACAAGACAAAAGTTTGGCTGAAAATCCGGAGATGGCTACCACTGAGCCACTCAGTAGCAGCATAGCTGTCGATGGAGCTCCAGAAGCATCGCCAACTGAAAAGCCTTTAATAGCTATGATTACGGAAGATGCAACAGACAAATCCACCATTCGAACGACAACAGAAGAGTCGGAAGAGGCAACTGATAATGATGTGAAATCTCTTAATGAAACGGACCATTTATCAATTGAGGAGGCTAAAGAACCCATCAAAAATATGTCCTTAAACGAAGATGAAGTAATATCTGAGGAGCTGGCTAAAGAGACCTCTGCTCAAGAAAAGCCGAAGACCGATGATCATCATATTAGTGCGAAATCTTCGGACCAGAAGGCGATACAAACTGCAGCAGTCAAAAAAGTTTCTGATATCATTGAGTTAAGCGATGATTCAAGTTCTGAATCTTCTCCAGTTGAAGATCACAACCCAGCCCCTGTAACTGAGGATCCCAAGGAGAATAAGGTTAAAGATATCGCTGAAGAAGGCACTCCAATTGCTGAAGTCAAGGAAACGTCTGATATTATTGAATTGAGCGATGATTCTAGTTCTGAATCACCTCCAGTTGAACAAGATCATATGCCAGCTCCTGCGCCTGCTTCCGAGGCAGATGCTTCTGTCCCAAATATAGAAACAATTGCCCATCAAGATGGAAAAGTAGAAGATGTAACTGATGAATTTCAGAATGGCGCAGCTACGGCGGCTGTTACTGCAGAGATATCACAGGCTTCAGATAAGTTAGCTTTTGTAGAGGTGAATGCAGCTGAAACAACTTCAACAACAGAATCTGTCGCAACTGTTGAACAAGACAAAGCTAAGGTTGAAAGTTCTGCTGATGAAGAGGCACCTTCTAAGGAGAAAGGCGAATCCAGCGGAGAAGTTTCGAGCACTGTGCAGGATGTTGAAGCATCCAAAAAGGAGAATATACTAAGCGATAAGCTACCGACGCTTTTTAATTCCAGTCCGGAACCCGAAGCATCTGACAAATTTATGGAGTCAAATCCAGAACCCTCAGTATCTACAGTGAAAACTATAAACATTACTTGCGATCCCGACGATACAGAAAAATTAAAGCCAGTCAAACGAGCGACCAGAAAGGGATCAGCCTCTTTGGAGACACCTGCAGAAGAAATTCTGATGAAGACAAGCCGACGTGTTCGAAAACCATCTGCAAAGGAGCCCATTACTCATATCCAAAATAAGATGGAGGAAACTGAGGAGGAAGATGTCCTGAAAAACATTCCGGAAGAGGCACATTCTTCTAGAGCCAATGAAGAGAATGAGTCAACAACGGAAGCTGTATCTGATCCTAATCAGGAGGAAGATACCGTTGAGAAGCCAAAGCGACGCGCCCGAAAGCCATTAGAGAAAGTGAAGTCAGCAGAAAAACCTAAGCGACGAGCACGTAAGGAATCAGCTGAAGTTCCTGACCCCGTGGTACACATAGAAAATAAAAGGAAATTGAAGACGAACTTAAGGACGAAGAACAGACGCATTCTTCAAAAACAAACAAACAACATGAGCTACAAAAAGCAGATTCTTCCCAGAAGCAGGAGGTAGAACGCCAGGAAGAACACATCCATGGGCTACAAGAGGAGGAGGAGAAAGAAGAGCCCAAAAATCTAAGGAAACTAAAAAAGTGGAGATCATCAAATCTCGAACAGAAAGACCTACAAGAAGAGGGCGAAAGGCATCGGAAGTAGACACGGATACTACATTGGGCAAGAAACCAAAGATGGACTACGAAGTCAACGAAGTGAAGGACTCGCCTACATCCACTCAGATCGAACAAGAACAGGAAATTCAAAAGCCAGAAAGACCCAAACGAAGAGGACGTAAAGCGTCGGCAGAGGAAGATTCAAATGTAGTTAAGGTCCCTTCAACTGAAGAAGTCCTGCAATCTATTGTGGAGGAAGATAATGAGGCCAAGGTCATCAGCACGGTGGATAAGGAACCTGAAGATGTTAGCACGAAGGGAAGGTCACGGCGTAGGGGGCGCAGGTCGTCAACAGAGGAGATCACAGTAGGCACATCAGCCAGTCAGGCAAAGTCTGCAAATGGAAACTCAGAGAAGCCATTGGCGACAGATTCAGGGGATCAACCATTAAATCTTGCAGAACCAAATGGACCCCAGAAGCGATCTCGGAAATCATCAGAAAATATACCGGCAGCGGTGAAGGATTCCCCTAAAGAAACAGATCACATAGAAAGACCCAAGCGTCGAGGACGCAAGCCATCGGTTGACATTGAGCATGTGGTTGAAGATGTCCCCGACAAACCAAGGCGAAGAGGCAAAACACCGGCTGACCCCGAGAAGCAACCTTCGGGTGAAGCAAAGGATGCCGAACCTGACAAAAAGTCTAGGCGCACTGCCCGCAAGCCCTCAGTTGAAACTGTGGTTACGGATGCCCGCAACATCGAGGTGGATCATCTTAAGGATATTGAAGAGGTAGCCGAGTCAGAGCCTGAACCCGACGCGACGACAAGTATGCCGCTTCCTGTGAAGGAGGAACCGAAGACTCGTCGGCGCGGACGTAATCTGAAACTCGAAACTTTGGACATATCGACCAAAACCACAGCTGAGGTAGGAAACTCACGCCTGCGTGGACGCAAGGCCACCCAAGATGACGTCCCCAAGTCCGAAGTCCCCGTGGAGGCTGAGACCAACCTTGATGAGGATCTCGACAATATAGTTCCATCGGATTCCAATAATGAAGTTCATAATCAGCCAGCGGATGAGATGGAGACGGAAGTTACAGCAAAAGAGGGAAAAACCAAGAGACGGGTCCGCAAGGCCTCAGCAAATGTTGAAGAAGGGACGGCGGTAGCCAAAAAGACTTCGACCCGTCGCGGCCGCAAGGACGATATTGAGCAGGAAAAGCAAATCGATCTGCAGCAAGTGCCAACGGAGAGCGTTCCAGCAGTAGTGATGATGTCTGCCACTATTGCCGACGAAGCTGTGCGATCTGAGGACGAGATTACACCACGCCGGCGAGAGGGCCGTAACATGCCACGTAAAAATTACGACGAGACTTCAGATGAGGACAAGAAGAGATCTGCACGCCGGCCACGGAAACCAGCACTCAGCAAGCAGTTGGCTTTTAATGCTGAAGATTCGACCCCAGTGTCCAAACGCCAACCCGTCGAGGAAGTGGAGACGCCCGCCAATACGGTGGCTATCGAGGAGCCCACATCCACGCAGCGGCGCGAGGGACGCAACGTGCCCCGCAAGAATTACACGGAGGCGCCGGACGACGATAAGCCCAGTTCTTCTCGCAATCGCCGGGTCCGCAATTTGTCTGCTAAGGCCTTGGAGTTAATCGTGGATTCCTCACCTCGACCAAATACTCCAAAAAGCCGCAAGGTAAAGGCGGCTTCGAAAGATGAACCACCAGCAAAGAGAGCATCGCTAGAGGCGGTACCACCTACAGAAGCCGAGCCTGTGCCGGAAGAGGAGCCGGCACCCGTAATCGTCAAGGGGCGTGCCGCTCGTCGCAAAGCAGATGCTGATTTATCCGAACCGCTGGATGCCAAGCCAGCCTCAAGGAACGCTCGCGCCACGGGACGTAAGGCCAAGGTAGACTCTGACCTGGATGAAGCTGCCCCCACTAAGAAGGCGCGGGGTGGAAGTCGTGCAAAGACGCCGGTAAATCCTCCAGAAGATAAGTCTGCCACTGAGCCGGAAGAACATCCTCCTCCGGTTAGGAAGGGTCGAGGTGGAACGCGTGCCAAAACTCCGGTGGCTGTCATCCCAGAGGATACTGCAACTAAGCCAGAAGATGAGCCAGCAAAGAAGCCAGCCGCCCGTAGTCGTGCACGCGGTGGCGCCAAAGCAGTAGCCGTACCAGAGCCGGAGCAGCCCGTCCATGAGTCGGATGTAGAGCCCGGAACAACTGCGACCACTGCATCGCGCGGAGGACGAGCCAAAAAGGTGCATTTTGAACCAACGGAAACCGCGGCGACGTCGACTGCCAACGCCGAAGATGCGCCAAAGCGAGCAACACGTTCCCGCCGGAAGTAAACATTTATATATACATATAGTAAGCAGTTAGTTAGATTTAAGAATCCCTTTGTTTCTTATGTTTGATTGTATTTACCTTGTTAATTTTTGAGTATGTTTTTATGTAACTTCTGTATAAAGAATTTGGAATTATATATATATTATCGGATCCCTTGTATCCCCTCCCTTATATTTCTGGGATGGCTTGCTCGCTCTAACTTAATACAAAAGAACCTTAATAGATTTAATTATTATATATATAATTAGTTAACCTGGTAAGGCATTTTATCAATTATCCCAAAAATAAAGATTCGTAAACATACATACAAAGCAGACTTGTTAATGCTGATTCAATAAATCTTCGCAAATTATCTTTATTTTTTCGTATCGTATCGTCAAATCGTATTAATTTTTAATTATTTTGTATTTTTGGTATACACACATATATTCCTCTTTCCCTTCTATCTGGTGCTACTTTATTACAGCTGAGGCAAAGACTTGTAAGGACTTGTTTTTGAGACAAGGGCACTCAAAACCAAAGCGAATTTTGTATATTATATGTAAGTATAAAGCACATCAAAAAGACATATGCCGTATATGGCATACGGTTGTGTTGAGTATAAAGGTAGAAATATTGTACATTGTATATATGTAAGCCTATACAAACTTTGAGAACATATCGCGGCGGGTATAAAAATATAAAGCCATACATAACAAAATAAATAGCATACCGAAATAAATCGGGTGGTCGATATAAATAAAATAAAGCACAGAACCTATATAAACATAAATATAAATATACACTTAAATCATAGCTTTGATCTCACTGGTGCGTGGGTGCTAGCAAACATCGGATAATACTTTCTAAAGCTTCTACAAAAACACATGGAAGTGGACGACAGGACACTAAAACAAGAAGTATCTAGGGTCTAAGCGCTGCGCTAAATGCAAACACAGTTTTGTGTAGTTTTTTTTGTGCGTCTGTCAGAGTCATAGACGGGGGTTCGTTGTCAGTGATACTCTAGGCTTTTACAAGGAGGTGCGGCTCTGAGCGCAACGAATCCGTTAGATACTGGATTTTCATGGTCTTTTGAAAGTAACGCTTCTCGTTCGGCGAGTTCACCATATAGACAATTGGACGAACGCCCACGTTGCGCCACAGGTCGGCAATGTGCCTGAAAATGAATGAGTTAATAAAGATTGAAGATAAGAGCTATGACTTTTCTAATTGCGTACAAGTTAAACTCTTCTTTGTTCAAAAAGACAATGCTAATTCCGATCACGGGTGCAATGATGTTTCGGAAGATTGCACCGTAAATGGAGGTAATCAGTGTAGAGGACTTGAGGATGGACAGCGACAAATAGGTCTCGTGCCACAGACCGCATGTGATTTCTGGCTGTAGCTTACGGAGCTGCAAGTAGAACCAAGTTTAGTAAGACGTTTCACGACCAGTAATTTTTTCTGACCTGGTATATGGCCAATGGGGAGCGACTTATGACAATTGTGCGTTGTGTGAACGTCTCGTTGGCGGCCATGAACTTTTGCAGCTGATCAAGCATGCGGGCACTGTTGTCGTGCAGGCGCAGAAATAAGGTGGCTTGAGTCGCATCCTCCGTGTCCAGAAAGTCCGACAGCTGCCTGAGCGTGGCCACCGATTCCGCTTCATACTGCGACCTGTGAGTGCGGTGCAGTGACGTTTTGACGTTAAAAAGATTAAACGGAGATTCCACTTGATTCAACATTACCCCATTGGATGCTGGTCCGTGATGTTCAGCTTCTGCAGCTCCGTCAACGGTTGCTGGGCCACGTTCAGCCGCTTGGGGTTGGCCACCACAATTTCGCCGCAGGACGTGAGGCTGGCGTCCAAAAGCACGTTTCGATATCCACGTGCGAGGCACTGTTAGGGCAAAAGGGGGATGTTATTGATTTTCGCTCTGCCTGAACCACCCGGCTTTCGTCCATGACGTCACCTTTTTGATAGCTGCCTTGGAGTTCTCGGGCGCATCGTACCCAGCCGCCCGGTTAGCAATTGGCCAGTAGCTAGGCCTATCATCCGGTGTGCTCAGCAGGCTGAGCAGACGCTTCTCGTTGGGACTGCGCTGCAGCTTCACGAACTTGGAGGCGACACATACAACGACCAGGGTGACGGTGCACCAGGGTATGGCGAGATTGCAGAACAGCCAGAAGACGTTGAAGCAGAAGAATATCAGGCTCACGGAGCAGCACAGTAGCTGGTAGATCATTTTGATCACACACCACAACCAGCGCCAATAGGACATTCAGCACGACGCAACTGGCCGGGCCGTGGGTGGTTCGGATCGGATTATATCGGTGTACGGTGTCTGTTGTGTTGTTGTTGTGCCCAACTATTTATATACGCCGTCGTCTTGTGCAGAAAATGCACTTATTTATCTTAACCCGAATACCACCCTCTGCTCCGCCCGGCGCCGCTTTTTTCACACTTTTGTTGAAAAAACCGCAGAAAATGAAGAACATGTGTGTATTTAAAGTTTTGCACAAAATGGTCACACTAAAAACACGACATATTTATTATCAATAATATCGATGTTATCGATGGAAAAGGCGCGGACTATCAAAAACCAAATGTATTGTATGGAAATAAATACTATTTTTGTAGTCTTTTTTAGGTTTGATTCCATATTTATTTGCAATATATCAGACACATTCATAACTTAGTGAGCAGGCGTATCCAGCGACGGATAGTTGGATGTGCTAGACGAGTGTAGACGCCTGGGTAGTAGGGATCCGCACAGCCCACTCCCCAGGATACTATTCCGATAAGGGTGCCTTGGGAGCTAATCGGACCTCCGCTGTCACCTTGAATAACAATTTCGGTTCAGAGCATTCCATGATCAAAACTGAGATTATAATACTGATAACTTACCTTGACAAGCATCCGTATTTCTGGCAGCCGCACAAAACATTCTGAAAGATATGGATAAATATGAGCATTTTTAAGATTTAAATGGTTGTTCCTACTAATGAGTATTTTTTACAAGATCTACCGAAAATATTTATATACTTACGCCTCGGTAACGCCACCATGGTTACGGAGATCGTTGTGGCATTTCTCCTGGTTGACCGTCAGCACGGTGGTGCTCTTCAGCACCGACGAAAGGACCGGATTGGTGGTGCTCATGTGTCCCCAGCCAGAGACAACGGCCGGCAGACTGTCCGCGATTGCCTCTCCAACGGCGGGCAACCGAATGGGGGCTACCTTGCCCAACGGGTAGTTAAGTGCTCCATCCGCAGTACGCAGCAGGGCCACGTCAAAGTTCATGTCCGCCCGGTCGTAGGCGGGATGCTTGTGAATGGACTTCAACGGCTGGACGGTGCCACCAGTGGCACGCTGGACACTTCCTTGACGGAGCGTGAACTCCCGCGGCTGGTTCTCATGGCCGTCGATGCAGTGGGCTGCCGTGATTGCCCAGTTGCCGGACAGGATCGAGGCTCCACAGATATGAACTGTTTGGCGACGCAGCGACAGTTGGTAAGGGAACTCGCCCTCGGTAGCATCGCGTCCGTTGACGATTCGGCTATCCGGTTGCCGTTGGGCTGCAGCTGCTGCATTCACGCGGGCGGAGCCCAGGATCAAATAGATCCCAGCTAGGAGCAGTAGACTAGGAACTCGGGGCTTGTGCATGGTTGTCTGCTGACGAGTGGAAACTAACCAGCCGCAGGAAACCGAGAGTCGATATATTCGCGGGCGCTTTATCAATTATTAGGGCTCTTATCTGGCGCTGCGTACACGATTTCTGAAGAAGCTGCGCCGTTTGGCCGTAATTAGCCATTGTCAATTGGGTTTTTTTCGTTTCCTATCTTCCAGATTCGGTGATTTTATTACTGTTTACAGCGCTGACGACGGCAATGAACTTCCGCAAGAGAAGCGGGAATCCGACAAGCAACAGTGGCCGGAAACTGTCTGAAAAGTTAAGATTCATAATAAAAGTTTGATTTTTATACTAGAACATACTAAAATTGAAATATCATGTTCGGGTTTCTGCTTGCAGAGGAAGGATATTTCTTTAAATATACTCTGCCTGAGAGCTCGAAAATTGAGATTTGAAAATCCGCGCCGATTTCATTAACAACTTATCGATACCTCCAAATAAGGAGGAATAGATTTATTAGCAGAGTTTCCAACCTTTTCCAGAAAAGTTATCGATGTTCAGAAGTTATCGTGTGCCTAAATTAGTACGTTTTAGCGCCGTACACATTATTTTTCAGTTGGTGCAAGACAGTCACACTGTAAAATTTCATGACGACGGTAAAGTAAGCGCGGTTGTTCTTCGGTCCGTAGTTGTAAAAATAAAATAAATTAATATCCACTCAAAATAACTCCGGTGTAATCCGACTGAGGACTATTATTACCACAAAACTTTGCTATACCAATCTAATACGTGCTCCAGAGCCGTTGTGCGGGTGCGAGTGCGATAGCGACAGTGACCGAGTGCAGCAGCCGATTGCAGCGAAAGAGGAAAAACCCAAAGTTGTTGTTGCTCGCAAAATAAAATCAGATAAAGGCAAAACTAGCTCTAACGCTCCTGCTGCTTGGCCATGGCCCCCAGGAAAGGTTAAGAACGGAACAGCAAAGGGAGTTTTCGGCACAAAAACAACAACAACAAATACAAGAAGAAGACGGGCCACTCCTTTTGTGTCCGACTCCGAGATGTGTGCGTGTTCGTGTCCGCGTCCGCCTTTGTGTATTGCAATTGAAAACTGGTGATTGCTGAATAAATTAAGGCTGCGCCGAGCTGAAATCGTAATTAGCGGAGCGAGCGAGGCAATAAAAAGTGAAAATCTTCTGCGTTTTCTTCTGTCTGCAAAAGAAGAAGTAGAAGAAGAAGTAGAATAGGCGACGACTACAGCTACAGTTAGAGATAAGAAGAGCTCGCGCACCCACACAAACACGCGCAGGCCGAACGGAGTGAGTGTGCGTGTAAAGCCTCTGTGTGTGTGTGTGTGAATGTGCTTATGACTCACGGCTGGGCCAGTGAGCGGGAGAGAAAGAGAGTGCTGGCTTGAGCTACCTACGGCAACAAAACGAAACGCAAACAACAACAAAACGCCGCATGAATAGAATTTCCCAAGTTGAGCGTAGCTAATCGCGTTGGAAGAAAATTCCAAAGTCCCCCCGCCACCAAACGTACTCCGCGCAGAACAGCTCGAGAGAGAGAAAGAACGCTGGTAGAAACATGAGCTTCACCAAGTGGTTCAAGAAGAAGGAGGCAATCTCCGAGATCGGGGCGCCCACAAATTTCCAGCGACACTTCCACGTCTCCCGCAACCAGGAGACGGGTGACCTGGAAGGCCTTCCCTCACCATGGGTGCGACTCATGAACTCACAGATCACCCGCGACGAACAGGATAAGAATCCGGACGCGGCATACCATGCCGTCAAGTACTACAACTATTCGATCAAGAAGAAGGAGAACGAGGTCTTCAAGCCCTTCATCACCGAGGATGTCATCCATGAGGAGTCCAAGGAGATCGAGAACTACGTCAACTACAAAAACAAGCACAAGTCGCAGGACCCGGAAAAGTCTGACGACGATGGCAGCTCCACGGCCACTGAGACGGAGAGCAGCAGCGGCTGCGGCTCCTCTGCGGGCAACAGCAACAGCAGCAGCATCAACGACAGCAGCCAGCAGTCCACGGTGCCGCTAGACGTGCTGGGGGATGTGTTCAAGGAGCTGAAATCCAACCTTGAGCATCGCGAGACGCTAAAGGCGAATGCCTCAGCGCAGGATCCGCCACCGGTGCCGCCCAAGAAGTCGCCACACGCAATGCCGCCCAAGCCACAGATCAAGCCCAAGCCCCGGGTCACCCAGAAGTTCTCGAGGACCTCCGATCTGCGGCGGGAGGAGGAAGGCGACCACCAGCACAAAGTCAACACGGACACTATCATCATCAAGCCGGCGGCGGGAGCAGCAACGCATGCGGACGGCGGAGACGATAATCCGGACGAGACGATACTGCGCCGCTCAAAGGAGAAGCGGGCACACAAGACCGATGCCGAAGTCTATGATGAGCTGCGTGCCATCTGCAATCCGGAGGACCCGCGGGAGCGCTACAAGACCACCCAGGAGGTGGGCAAGGGCGCCTCTGGCATCGTTTTCATTGCCGGAGACCTTCAAAACGAGTCGCAGGTGGCTGTAAAAACGATCGACATGAAAAACCAGTCCTCGAAGGATCTCATTCTCACGGAAATCCGGGTGCTAAAGGACTTCAATCACAAGAACCTGGTCAATTTCCTTGACGCCTATCTGCTGGAGCCAGAGGACCAGCTGTGGGTGGTCATGGAGTACATGGACGGCGGCCCCCTCACCGACGTCGTCACCGAGACTGTGATGAAGGAGCGCCAGATCGCATGCGTCTGCCGGGAGGTGATATACGCGATCAGTTTCCTGCACGCCAAAGGCATCATCCACCGCGACATCAAGTCGGACAACGTACTGCTCGGCATGGACGGCTGCGTCAAGGTGACGGATTTCGGCTTCTGCGCCAATATCGAGGGTGATGAGAAGCGCCAGACCATGGTGGGCACTCCTTACTGGATGGCTCCCGAGGTGGTCACGCGCAAGAAGTACGGCAAAAAGGTGGACATCTGGTCAATCGGCATCATGGCCATCGAGATGATCGAGGGCCAGCCACCATACCTGTACGAGACTCCGCTCCGTGCCCTCTACCTGATCGCAGCCAATGGCCGGCCGGACATCAAGAGCTGGGACAAACTGAGTCCCAACCTGCAGGACTTCCTGGACCGCTGCCTCCAGGTGGAGGTCGACCGGCGGGCCACCGCCGACGAGCTGCTCGCCCATCCGTTCCTCAGCGACTGCAGTGAGGTGAAGGCGCTGGTGCCCAACATCAAGGCGGCCAAGAAGGTGCTCCGACGCAACGTATAGTTGCTGTGCAATCACCGGGCGGCACGGCTGCTTTACGCGTGATCGGAATCGGGATCTATCCCGTGTGTATAATGAGTTTTCAATGTAAATTTGTTTTGTGTGGACGCAACCGGAAGCGGAACTGGAACTGGAACTGGAACAGAATGCTGATCGTAGTCTTTGTAGTGTTTACAACCATAGAAATAGCGAGAGCGCAGGACTAGGACCCGGCAACTCCCCGTCAATAAAAAGGTAAGTTCCGACCATATATTCCCTTTAGCTCCCAGGTAGCTAGCTTAGTTTGTTATTCATTGGAAGCGATTTGCGTTTCAACGGAAACCTTTTCGCAATGCCAAATGAGAAAACGGAGGCAGTCGGTTTTTTTGTTCGCTGGGTTTGTTAGTCTGAGAGCGTCGTCGTCAAAGAGACCCAATACCCAAAAACGGCAATAGTTGGCTTTATCTTGAGTCGCTTAATCAGTAACTGGCTCCGTTTCGAACAACAGATTAAATTCGATCAAGGCTGTGCGTTAGCAAGTGGCTTGTGTCTTGCCATTGTCTGTAACGTGTACATATGTAAATATTAACCAAAGAAATCCAATGTACGATCGTAAAGCTGGAATTATAAATATACATCACATTAAGATGAAAGAATAGGTCAGTCAGAATCTTATGTAAAGAAATTTTTCTATCTGTTCAGTCAAATATTTATTTATATATTTAACGAAAGCGCTGCTGACAAACTGTTAGTTGGCAAATTGTCAATGCGTAGTTCTTATCAATATTGAGACGTATCATGTACATACATATGTATTTTTATCAGGTTTAATAATTCGCACACTTTCAAGTTTCAAAGTAAATATTCATACAAATATTGTATGATTGTAAATAATACGAATACATTTCAATTGTATTATATTGATGATGAGACCTATACTTTACTCGAATAGCAAATAATCTAGCATTTTATTGTTTCCTGAAAGTAAACCAGCTAATTTTAATAAACAATTCATATTTCTTGGGAATAATCCATTTTAAGGAGTATTTTTGAGTCTGGGCATCGCTCTCACTCTCTCTCTCTCTCTCGATTGCAATTACTCTCGTTTAAGAGCATGTGTACCGTTATTCGGCGAGAGGGCCTACCTGCAGCCATCCCTTTCGTTTGTTCACCTATTACGTATACAACATGTGTACGTGCAAAGTTTTTTTTTTGTGCAAGACAAACATCCCATTGAAAAGACTGACAATGAACGAAAACGAAAGAAGACGCGGGCGGCAACAACAAAATGCAACAAACAACACAACTAAGTACACAATTCAACACGCTCGTTCGCATTTCCTGTTTGGAATATCGCTTTGTCTGGCCAAAATATTCATACATCATAATAAATGATACAAAAAAAAGTAAAGTAAAAAAACTTTAATTCATACGCAGACTGAGACAACACCCACACAAAGAAGCGTACATATTTGTATTTGCCTTATCAGCCGCATTAAAAAAAAACACTATAAATGCTATTGTAAGTCCCCCTTGCAAGTCCAGAAATCGGTGCCGAGTTTATCAAATTCTTAGAACAATTTTCGTGCCATTTCGGCGTGATAAGCGGACAAAATAAAGCTACGATCGCCGGAGAGTGAGAGAGCGAAAGTGGTGGAGTCAAAGTCAAGCAGGGGTTTGTGGGGTGAACCCGCCGGGGTGTGCATGTGTGTGTGCAACACAAAGAATGAGAGTGTGTATAATTGCTTCTCTCGCATTTAGTATCTTCTTCTGCATGGCATGCACACCCTCCTTACTCCCTCCCACTCAGTCACTCAATTTAATTGCCTTTGCAGCATGGCGGAGTAAGCGAGAAAGGTGGCGGCAACGACGCGACGTCGCGACTCCGTTGAGCTATTTTTACTCTCCCCCACTCCCACTACAACTCGCCTTTTCCCTTAGGTTCTTCCGTCCTCCTCCTCCACCATTCTCCGCCTTTCTGTTATATGCATGGATCTCTAGGCTCTTTATTTGTTTATATTAGTGGCGCATACTTTTGCTTTCCGTTTCACGAGGGAGAGGGAAGTCTTGAATGCCAAGTGCAGGAGAGAGTGAGTGAGAAGGGCTGTGCAGGAATTTCGCAAAAATTAAAATGTGCGTTCTTCTCCGTCGTCTTTTTGTGGTTTTTCTTCCGTTTTTTTTTTTTTTTATTCTCTGACTTCTGGGCGTGGATCTCGATGCTGAGGCCAAAGTACGCCATGGGAGTGAAAGGGCCAGAGCGGCCGTGGATCCCCTTTTCTAGGCGAGCGACGCCCCGAGACTCAGAAATAATGACTAAACCACTCACATTTGGTTCGATTTCGAATGATAATTTCACCTTGCGTAAAAGGTTTTCGGCTGCCTGCGTGCCTGTGTGTGTTTGTGTGAGTGAGTGAGCGAGTGAGTGAACCACACACATGGGTTGTTATTGTTTGGTAGCTATGCGGATTTTTAGATGATTCATTCATTACTTTTCGGCCAGCCAAGTATTTTTTTCTCATTCAACGACATCAAGGGGGCTGTTTGTAATATAACCCCTTGACAATGCAAATTTGTGTATTATCCGCCTGGCTTTAGTAACACTGTTTTGTCAGAGTTTCAGTCCGCCTGCGACAGACTCATCCATACACAGGCACAAGCACATGCGCTTGCTGCATGCAATACAAATAAATACATATACATATTTTTATTGTGCGACTCATTGGAACGCAATGCAATGCAAATGCAGTGAAAGAGAAATAACACGATCCACATGCACGATCCACCGGATCCACCAGTGAACTTCATGTGGCACTCTCCGCATCTGGAGCGCGCTCTCATTTGCCTGTCAGCCAGCCTAACGGTTCTTCTCGATTCTGTATTTTTGTCGATGGAAAATTGTGAGGGAAAAACTGGGTATCTTGTGAATGTGATGCCAGCCCAGAGTTTCATTGAAATTCAAGCGTGACTTTCGAGCGGGTGGCCGCTTCACATGCTGATAAATATAAACAATTATTGCACTGATAATTGCCGCGCTCCGCTCTCCCATGGCACAAACAACATCCATAGCCTGAGAATAAACTGATTTATATGCCGTGCACTTGCTAATGACAGAGAGCCAAAAACAGAGAGAGCGAGAACAGCGCGTCAAAGCGATGCCAAAATATTATGCAGAGACCTGAAAGCATAATAAATATTATTGTATTACTCCATTTAACCTCAACCTCTGCTAAATACAAAGCGAACCCCCAAGGCTCACCTGCCGTGTAGCGGTCTATATTTAACGGCTGCTTGCCGGAACCTAATCAGCTGGCAGTATCAAGTGCGCTGATAAGAAAAGCTTGCGTCGATAACGAAACAGTTGTATGATTAATTCACTTTGCCTTGCGGTCCCCCTAAAATTTGTGTTTTTATTTTCTGTTTTCAAGCATACTATCACAGTCTAGGGCAAATTAGTAGGTAGACTGGGAAGGAATTTGTTTAAGCTTGGTTTAGTCATAGTTGAAGAAAATTTAAATGGTTTAATCATTTTGCTTGCTATAATAAAACTAGATTTATTTTTTCCTTAGCATATGAGTCATTTATGAGTCATATTATACAACAAATTGAAGACCTAATTAGTTTATAATACAAGCATGTGTATTGAAGGAAAATTGAGGGTAAATGCAGGATTAAATTGAATCACAATTTGGAAAAAATATTGATAGTAATATTAATAAAAAGTTGTTTTACATCTCATATATTATTATTGAAATGGAAAATTCCATTAAAAAATAAGTAATACCTTTTGATGTTTACCAACGTTTCTGTCCTTCACTGTAGTGGATTTTATGTAAAAACGTTTATTTCACTGTGTTGGCAATTATTAAAGGTCAAAGTGTTAATTATGCGCCAATTGTGTTTGCCTTTCCTAACCGCCACGAACCCCAGACCCCTCTCCATGGCTGCAGTGCAGCATTTGACCTGAATGCCAATATTTACTGACCATCTCGTTTCATCTTCTTTTCAGCACGTGACAGCTACAGCGAGAGGAGCGGCGAGACAACAAGAAGAATCACAGAATCCCGAGGAATCCGAAGCCGTAGCAGCTGGGATCCATTCCGCATCGCTGGAGACGTCGACGGGGTGGGGGTTATCGCTTAGATTAGATATTGTCCTATGGCAAAATTAGCTTACTTCGTACATTGCGAGAATGTATGTGAACGACCGACCGACCACGCACACAAGCACGCACATATGATATGCATATAGATACTGTAGTACTGTATTATTTACTGTAGTGACATAAGTTGGATTACTCTTTATATACCCGTATATATATATACATAATTGTGATTTAAGCGATTTTATCAAATCTGCATTATGCAATTCTACATAAATTCGTCGTATAGTCCGTAAGCACAAACAAAAAGGAACCCCAAAAGAGCAGAGAACATGCAATACTTGTTGTAAATTACCAAAAAGGCGATAAATGTAGCAAGTGGAAGCGAGTGTAACAAGTGCCATTAGGACTAGAGAGAGCTAGGTAGGCAGCAGCAAGCGACACACTGCAACGAAATTATCTCCACAGTTCATTGTATTTCCCCGTCAAATACGGATATCACTAAATCAGATAGATAACTAATTAGATGCCTGGCCTGAGCATGTAAATTAGCTGATAACGAAAACAATGTTTGATATTCCATTTTAATTAGTACAAACGTAAGACTAACGAGAATGCAACGCAAAAGAACATATTTAATAGGCAGACTTCCTTGTTCTTCCTTCCGACCCTCGGATCTGCCATACACCGCACAGAGAAACCTATCAAGATAGAGATGTTATATAACGCGTGTGTCAAATAGCTATGAAGAGAAAGAATATCCCTAAAGGGAGTTTATATGCATATAAAGCGGTGGTATACGTACACTAAACCTAGTCCCAACGAAAGGGAAATACGAGCAATGCCAAAAACGAGGAGAAAATAATGCAAAGAAGAAAGTTTTGAAAAGGATTTAATTAACAACCTAGCATAGCCTTAGCCGAAACAGTGCTTATACTTTTGGCAGATATCCATAGTAGTTTTCCATCTGTGTTTGTGTTTAGTTCAATTTGTTTGATGCTATTTCCCACCACACTAGATTTATCCGAAAACAATCTTTAGCTAGTCGCCAACTCTTGGTAGGAGTTATTCTATTGAAGCACAACGAAGAATGAGGAGGATTTAACTAAGAGCTGTTTGGCTTCTTTACTTGTTATATACATATACACGCGTCGTACGACCGATAGGGTTTATCTTTTACTTGCGATTCTGATATTAGTAGCCAATCGATTGCTGCTGCTGCTGCTGCAGATCGGTTCATAGTTAAATTTTATATATACGATACGATACGAGATCCCATTTTTTGGCCTACAATTATAATTGTGCATTCATAATTTTCAATGAGCTTATTAATTAATCGAAAATTTACTTGATTTTTTTAGTTTAGCTTAAATTAGTAATGAGTATTAGGCAGGGCAACGAACGAAGATGGAGATGGAGATTCCATAAGCAGTAGAAGTGGGTTTTAGGAACAGAGACATACCCGAACTTACATATTCGCAGACACGCATTTAGGACGAACGAAAATATTGCAATTAATAACGTACATTTAATTGAAACTTAAGTCTTCAAACAAGAAACAAAGAACAACAAATGGTAGCATAATTTTTTATACGCAACTTTTATTGCAAATTGTAAAGGAGATTGAGGAGAAAAGAAGCTGACATCAATTTTGATCGATTCGTAATTATATATATATTAATATACAACACAACAAGAATTGGCGCTATTTCAATTAAACAAACTTAAACGTAGTTAAAATACAAAATGCATATTAATTAATGTGCAAGGTCAAGACCCGACTTGCCAAAATAAACGTAAACAGTATGAGTATGAGTATGATAAACAATACGGGATATCCATATTTAGAAGGAGGAACAATTACGATCCTCCTTAGCGCTTTTACGGTCGAACATTTTAGATTCAATGAGCAAATTCCACTATCAGTTTTATGTTTATGTATTATGATGCACACGTATTCTTTTGCTTGGAAACCTAAGTCGTAATCGTACTACTTTTATTATATATATGTCATTATTTAGATTTATTTTGCAATTTTATCAATTAAGTATACCCAAACACACGCAGACCTAAAAGTCCCATTTAGTTTTTGTATTCGTCCCCATCCATCCACTGCGATTATACTGAAGATTATCCCTCACGATTGTATGTATTTAGTTTTAGCTTGCACTGTATTTTTATTTTGTGTTGTTAAATATATCGTTATTTACTTATTCGACCAAAGCAACTGGATGATGATTCTGTTGGGTAAATATTTACTTTTACAGCTGTCGTAATGTTAGCAAGAAAACGAAGCATTACCTATTTTCCAGATGGAAATCGTTTAAATTAAAGAGATCTTGCCCCTCAAAAATAATAAGAATAAACTCTCGAGCTCTCTACACGACTGGATTTAATTCTCTGACATAAAAACAATAGTAATATATCAACCTAATTCGCTCTTATATTTACCCAACAAGATTTACAAAAGAAACTCAAGTAAAAGAAAGTAGATTACAGTAACATTAATATATAAAAACATAAAGACTCCTTGATTAGTGCTATTTTTACTGCTCCTGTAATCCTACAGCCACACGTCCTCGCGATATTTGCCCTGCGTCTTTAGTTCCTTAAGGCGGCGCAGGGCCTCTTCTTCATTAAGATTAAGCGTCTTTTGCAGGCATACACTTAAGCCATTGGCGATTGACTGAGATATCTTGGCGCCATCGGCGCAGACATAGAGCACAGTATCTGGCTTCAGCAGAAGCTCGGCTAGCTCTTCAGCATCTTCCTCCAGAAGCTTTTGGACATAGCACGGGGATTCCCCACGAGAATAACAAGTGCGTAATCGCGATAGCACCGTGGATTGCTGCCAGGCCAGCAGCTGATCTCTCTTCAGTATGGCCTCTGGTGTCTTGGCACCTACGTACAGCCAGGACTGACCCTTGTTATGATGATTTTGCTGCTTCAGAAGTTTTTCCTTGTGTCCCAGAAAGCCTAGGAAGGGGGCCAGGCCAGTTCCCACGGCTATGAGTATTTGGTTGCTGTAGAGATCCTGCTCTGTGTATCGGAATGTGTTGCTCAGCCGAGGATAGATGAAGACTTTGGCGGACTGCTTATTGACTTGCTGGACTATTCCTTCCAACATGCTGGTTGTTACTCCGGGCTTGTGGCTAAGCAGGGAGTAAATGATACGGAGCTCCTGGGCATCGCTATCCAAGGGAGTATTGGCTATAGAGTAAGGCCGTGGCAGTAGACGTGGCAGATGCTCTGCCAGGAAGGCCAGCGGTGGCTTACAGCTGCCGCAGAGGTCAAGAATGTCCGACAGCTTCAAACCTTGCTCCAGGATAAGAGAATTGTAATGGGCTGTAGCCTGCTTTGAGGACAGGCAGGCCAGAAAGCTACGCTCCCGTTCGTTGCTTGTAAAACCGGCCAGGGCACTGAGGAACTGCTTTTGTGGAACGCTTCCGAGGGCCAGGCAGTGTGTAAGGATCTCCCGTGCAGTCGTCATCGGCGGTATGTGTGCGGGTACCTTGGCGTTCTTTTTGGCGCAGTTCAGGACCAGCTTCAGATAAAAGGTGGCTTCAGCCTTGACCTTAAGTTCGAGCCGAGAAAGCAACGCATTCACCACATCCGGACTGTTACTTGGCATAATTCCGATGGTGTCTCCTGGTTGATATTCAAATGTGGACTCTAGTACTAGCTCTACCACGCGCTTCGTCCCAGTTGCCATATCGGCGGCCACAAGCACGTTGCTTCCCTTTACCGCTGCCGGCATTGGTCGTGCCGCGTCCGAGCGGGCGAATGGAAACTTCAAGACATCGCCGCATCTTAGTTGGGCACATGTTTCGCTGATTAACTGCAAATAACAGCGATTAAATATGTTTCCCAGAGTTTCGGCGCGCTCACCTGCTCCTCGCCTGTGAAGCACACCTCCAGATTGCAGTCCAGCGGCTTGGCGGGTATATATTCACTCAGAATATACGCCTCTATATCCGTTTTATCCGGATTGTGAGAATCGGAGCCGACCATGATAAATAGAGTGGCATCAGCCTGAGCGCCAAAATATAACTTATTCGCGATAATTCCCTAAAATTCCCTCAGTTATCGATAGGCAGGGCTATCGGAAAGCATGAGGAATACAATTTGTTGCTGTCCAACTCGAAATTTCCAGTAGATTTTAACAGGATTTATCTTAGAAACGGCAATGGCAGGCAGCGCCAACAGTGACGACGAGTTCCATGATGCTATCGGCGAGGAGATCACCGAGAAGGAGGCCAGCAGCACGCGACTGAGCGAGAAGGACGTGGACGAAGTCGTGGAGAAGCACAGCCAGCTGAGGTTGGATGACGAAGCGGAAGAAGGCGCGGCTGGTGGAGATGCCCTGGTGAAGCAGCCAGACTCCGAGATGTCCATCGAAGAGTTGCGGGAACTGGAGAAGGATCTCAGCCCTGAGGAGCTGGCGGCGAACAAAGAGAAGGCTAACAAACTCAAGCTGGAAGGCAACGAGCTGTTCAAGAATGACGACGCCGAGGGCGCTGTTAAGATCTACACAGAGGCCCTGGACATCTGCCCCTCGAACAGCACCAAGGAGCGGGCAGTGCTTTACGGCAACAGAGCAGCTGCCAAGATTAAGCTGGATGCCAATAAGGCGGCCATCGACGACTGCACAAAGGCTATCGAACTGTGGCCTGAGTACGTGCGCGTTCTCCTCAGGTGAGCTATGCCGGTTCCCTATAATCAAAACATGGATCAACTAATAGTGTGTGTATCCTCCCGCAGGCGAGCCAAGCTCTACGAGCAGGACGACAAGCCCGACGAGGCTCTCACAGACTACAAACGCGTCTCCGAACTGGATCCTGGACAGCAAGAAGCTCGCGAGGCACAGGTTCGCCTGCCACCCATCATCAATGAGCGGAACGAAAAGCTCAAAACCGAAATGCTGTCCAACCTAAAAGACCTGGGCAATATGATACTGAAACCGTTCGGGTTGTCCACACAGAACTTCCAAATGCAACAGGATCCCAATACGGGCTCCTATTCCATAAATTTTAATCAAAAACCAAGCTAGTGGATATACATAGTTCTGTTGTGAGTGTGAGAGACAGCAAATAAGTTGATCCGAGAAAAGATTTTTTAAATAAAATTATAGTTACTGGATGGATACTGTGTTGAAATGTAAATATTGCATCCTAAAAACTCCCAAAAAATAAGTAAATACTGATTTTATTATCAAGAAATATTCATTCATTCAATTAAATATTGCTTAAAAATTAACAATTTTAAGCTTTCAGCCGCTCATCTCTGTAGCGTCCGATAACGATAACGATACATACACGAATCGAAGCAACAGCTGACTTATTACACTTGTGTTGTTCGTGAAGAAGAAGAGCTTGGTTGAAAAATCGCAATTTGCTAAATTACAAAACAAGAATCGTGGAATTTTAAGGTCCATTCCAGTGGTTTCATGTGATCCATGCCAGTTGCATACAAAAAAACACGGAAACAGCACAATCGCCAGCAGAGTGATATGAAAACAGCCAGGTGGAGCGTGGCCAGTTGATTCCAGTCGCCCAGTCGCGTCATCCAGCATGTTCCGGAGTCGCAGCTGGTTCGGCGGTCCCTGGGGCGGGCGTCCCAAGAACCGCCTCTCTCTGGAACACCTCAAGTACCTGTATAGCATTTTGGAGAAGAACACCACCGTCTCTGAGAGCAACCGTGGCCTGCTGGTGGAGTCGTTGCGCTGCATTGCGGAGATCCTAATTTGGGGCGACCAGCACGACTCTCTGGTGTTCGAGTGAGTTCGAGTGATATCCCGTGTCGACAAACCGCCGTTAACCCTCTAACTTACTTCCAACAGCTTCTTTCTGGAGAAGAACATGCTATCTTACTTCCTGCACATCATGCGGCAGAAGAGCGGCGGCTCTAGCTTTGTGTGCGTGCAGCTGCTACAGACGCTCAACATTCTCTTTGAGAACATACGAAACGAAACGTCGCTGTGTTAGTCTCTCATCTGCTCTGACTGTTAGCTGGAATTAACCTAATTTTTATACTTGCAGATTATCTGCTGAGCAATAACCATGTCAACTCCATTATGGTGCACAAGTTTGACTTTTCCGACGAGGATGTGATGGGCTACTACATTCTCTTCCTGAAGACGCTCAGTCTGAAGCTAAACACCCACACCATTCACTTCTTCTACAATGAGGTAGGTTGGGTCTACTTTAAACGCGACGAGGAAATTCACTTAATGCTCGATTTTTACTATTGAAGCACACAAACGACTTTCCGTTGTACACGGAGGCCATCAAGTTCTTTAATCATCCCGAGTCCATGGTGAGGATTGCTGTGCGAACCATTTCCTTAAATGTCTACAAAGTGCAGAACTCCAGCATGCTGCGGTTCATAAGAGACAAGTATATATATCAAAAGTCCCTCGGTATAATTAATTAAATAATCAAAATCTTCCAGAACTGCTGCTCCGTACTTTAGTAACCTGGTTTGGTTTATTGGCAAGCACATTCTGGAACTAGACACCTGCGTGCGCACAGATATAGAGTAAGAATCTCCATTAAGTTTATGTATGTATCATTGTCGTTTCTACCCTCTTGCAGCCACCAGTCGAACCAGAAGCTATCCAATCTGGTGGCGGAGCACCTGGATCACTTGCACTATTTGAGTGACATTCTGTTGCTGGACATAAAGGACCTGAACGCGGTGCTCACGGAGCACTTGCTGCATAAGCTGTTTGTGCCCCTGTACATATTTTCTTTGACGCCAGCCCCGCCGCCGCCTTCGCTGGCGGTGGTCACGCAGAATCTGGCTGCCGTGCTTAATCGGAATGTGGACATTGACATACAGGAGATGCACAATCCACGCGTTAGCTCAATCGTGGCCCTGTTCCTCCTCTCTCTGGTCTTTCTGGTCGTCTCCCATGCGCCGCTGGTGCACGCCTTAGCCTGGGTCATTCTCAACGGTGATCACAGTGTGTTCAAGGAGGGCGCGGCCGAGATTCTCAATTCGTACGTGGAGCACCGCAAGGTGGTTGTGCCGGGATTCGGTGAGCCCAACGAGAGTCTCGAGCAGGCCCTGGACACGGTCACCGGCCAGTCAAGTGGCTCTAGCTATGCTCTAAGCGAAGACAGTGGTGTGGAATCGTCATCGCCAGCCGCCACGGAACTAGAATTACAGGCGGATGACACGGAATCGGTAGAGACAAAACTGCTGCGAAACATAACTGACGAAGAGAAACAATTGCAGCTGCAGAAGTCATCTTCCTTGGCGAAGGCTGACCTCGGTGATATGGCCAAGCCGTTTTTGGACACAGTCCTGCAGGCCTTGGACTGCACTGAGAACGACTACCTGGCTCTGCTGTCGCTGTGCCTCATCTATGCAATGTCGCACAATCGGGGTGAGTAAAAATTCGTTACCCTTTATATTATTTCACATGCTTCTCTGTCTTTGGGCTAATGCTATGTAACTTTCCCTTGCTCTGATCACCCCATTCGTGCTCCATTCTAATTGCTTTCTATGTGTGTCACGAACTTGTGATCCCGTTCAGATGGTATGTAACTCTCGTCCTCTCGTCGAACTAATCCACTATACCAGACAGCTATCTATTGAGCTTATTTAATCTAAGCGTTATTTTCTTCCATTATTTAGGTGTCAAGAACGAGTGGTTTGAGCAGGTTCTGGCCAAGTCTACACGTGGTTCATTCAGCTATAAGACAGCCTTGATAGAACATCTGTTGGATATCATCACACAGTCCAGTCAGCCATGTAAGTGCAAGTCACCGTTCTTAAGTACATATATAACTGGAATCTTTTTATTTTAGCCTGCCGCATTCGCCTGATAACCGTTGAGATTGCCCTGGAGCTGCTGGTTACCTTTACGCGCCCCAACTCGGATGAGGCACGCTGCATCACTCCCGCCCAGCAGGATTTACTCTTCAGCGCCAGAAACCAGTCCATGGCGGTGCTCCGCAACTTCTACAAGTCAGAGGATATCTTTCTGGATCTGTTTGAAGACGAGTACAATGAGATGCGGAAGGCGCAACTGAATGTGGAGTTCCTCTGCATGGACTCTGCCATCTTACTGCCTCCCACGGGTACGCCCCTCACGGGAATCAGCTTTACGCGCCGCCTGCCCTGCGGAGAAGTGGAGAAGGCTCGGAGAGCCATACGCGTCTACTTTCTCCTGCGCCGCACGTGCCAAAAGTTTTTAAACGAGAAGGAATCTTTGCTGCCGCTGACAAACGTCGTTAATCTGGTGCAGGTGGAGAATGTGCTGGATCTAAGTAAGTACCTTCGTTAGAAGCTGTGGCAGTGTTGTGACTTTAACTCTACGTGATTCCATAGACAATAGCGACCTGATTGCATGCACCGTGGTGGCAAAGGACAGCAGCAAGCAGAGGCGTTTCTTGGTCATCGACGCCTTGCAGTTGATTCTCGTTGAGCCAGATGCCAAGCTGTTGGGATGGGGCGTCGCAAAGTTTGTCGGTTTCCTGCAGGACGTGGAGGTGCAGGGCGACAAAGACGATTCGCGCTGCCTGCATATAACTGTGCACCGCGGCGGAGTCACCCACAACCGCACACCGCTACTCTCGGCGAAATTCCTGTTCGATGACCACATTCGTTGCATGGCCGCCAAACAGCGGCTGACCAAGGGCCGCAGCAAGGCGCGCCAGAAGAAGATGTATCAGATTGCACAGCTTATCGAGATACCCGGCCAGATAGACTCGCCGGTGTTTGCTGTGGGCGGCACAATAGCAACGTCCACGTCCAGTGGGAACAGCAGTGGCAGCAGCTCGCGCAGTGGCCACCATCGACCCATGTTCTCGACGGCTAACCGCGTGCCCGGATTCGCTGCGGTTCTGCGGGGCAATAACAGTGCCGGGGTCAGTCGCACCCAAATGGCCCAGAATCGCTCCATCGAGGGGTAAGTGTCTGTGTGTGGAGGGTTTTTTCGAAAGAGGAGCTCATTTGTGTGTTCACATGCAGCATTCGGAATGAAAGCGCAGGTCGCTCCCGCCGGCGCAGTCCCAGCAATACATCGGGCTCCAATTTGAGGGCAGATTACTCGGATCGTGAGCGATCGCCCAGTGTTAGTGTCGGCAGCCACAGTTCCTCTCAGTCGCGGGAGAACTCCCAGCCCAGAAGTGCCGGCACAAGATCGAGGGAGAGCAGTCCCAGGATGCCAAGGCCGCGGTAACAAGATCAAGTTTTTAGTCATTTGTATGTCCCATCAGAGGGTGTCTTTTTAGTTTTGTCCCATAGATTTCCCCATATTCTTTATTTATTAACAAAGATACAAGTTTCTAATTATTATTTTCTACATTTTAGGTCGGAGGAGATACCCCTGGAGGATTTCCAGCACTCACGTACCAACAGCCCGCACTCACGTGGCAACCCGTCTCCCTCCTCTCGATCGCACACACCCACCCGGGTGCTCCACTATGACCAGATATCTATATCCGGGCATAGCGGATCGCCCCGCGAACCAACATTGATAGCGGGCACAAATGCCCTGCTGAGCCAATTGAACGGAGTGACTATGGCCCGGGAAGTGCTGCCGGTGCAGAGTTCGGAGGAGACATCGTTCATTGGCAGTGATGGCGGCGATTCCACTGGAGGTGGGTCGGATAGCAGGCGACGGGGGCTATAGAAACGGTCTAAGTTAGTTTAGAAATTTTAGTATTACAAGTTAAGGAGACGTTTATGCTTAGATTGTTGCTAACGTTTTGTTATTCCAATTAACTAATACGGTGGTACATAATCTATTTACTTTATCATTTTAAATAAAAGTTCATTTGACGATTTTAAATAAAGGCTTTAAACTTATGTACACCATTATTAATACAAATAAATTTATCATTGTGTTATGAAATGTATATATGTTCAAGAACTCAATCGGGGGTTTAATTTCGTTTTGCTTTATTCTATTTTTCCCCGTTTTCATAAAAAAATCTTCATATCCGCAAATGATGCTTCTTTTGTTAAGCTATAAATAACGAAAATTAAATTGTTTTTAATTTGAATGTAGCGGCTTTCGGTTGAGTTGGCAGGCCTAGTCGCTGCCTCAAGTTGGCAGTTGGCATCCCTGGTTACCAGCTGTGCAGTGTTTTTGTTTCGTGACATAACCGCAATTCGGTAAAAACCATAAATTTAGCCCTTGTTTAATAAAAATACACGTATAAGGGCAGTAATTATTGTCCAAATATGTCCCACAAGTATACGGAGCTGATCAAGCTCGGCACGCAGTATGCCCGACGCATGAATTACCTCTCAAACCGCATTTTCGGCGAAGTTGCACGCACCACCAACGAGAAATCCATGAAGGTTTGTCCTCAGCTCTGTCGCTTTAAAACCCTATATTACCACCGGATTTCCCTCTTGCAGGTTGTCCGCATGTTCTCCGAGGAGCCCATACACAAGCGCGACTATGTGGTCAATTGGTATCCCCGTCACGTGGAGACGCATCTGCTGATGAAAAACCTTCGCGACTATGGCCTTTTCCGGGACGAGCACTTGGACTTTCAGGACGAGATGAAAAGGTTGCGCAAACTACGTGGCAAGGCGCCGCCCAAGAAGGGCGAGGGCAAGCGGGCCTCCAAGAAATAGTAGTAGGATAAATATAAAGTAGTCTTTTTATTGAAATAGCTCTAGTCTGTTTGGCTGCGGGTCAGCAACTTGGCTCTGCCGGCGAACACCACCTCGTCGTTCTGCCGGCACTCGTACTCCACGGTGGCTATTTTACGCGCCTCCAGAAGACGAACTGTCACCACCGTGTCCGTCTCAATGCGGCAAGGCTTCAGGAAGCGGAAGTTCTGTTCCAAAACCACGGTGCCGGGTCCCGGCAGCTTTGTGCCGATAATGCCAGCTACCACGGCATTGAGTAGTGCTCCGTGCACACGCCGTTCCTCAATGGGTGTGTCCAGGCTGTGGATGTAGTTGTGGTCGCCCGTGAACTGGGCAAACTGCTCCAGGTCGCTTTGCGAGAAACGCTTAACTACTTGCACCTGCTTCGGTGGTGCTGCTGCTTGCCTGCTCAACCTCCGGCAAAACTGACGGAGCATTCTGCAAGTCAATTATTTCAGTGCGGCGGGCGAAGTCCTCCAAAAACAATTGGCACAGCTTGACAATGCGCTTGTCGTGGGCCTTTAGTCGCCACTCTTGCACCGTTCTCAGCAACGAAGGGGTCAACAATAACTCTCTGTCCACCTGATTGGCCTCCAGAAGCTGGTAGAAGAGCGCCAGGCTGTGGAGCACTATTTCCGGATGGTCCGTACGCACAAACAGAACGATTATTTGGTTCAAGTGCTCCCTAATGAATTTAGCTGCACTTTTGTCTGCAAATAGATTCCATTTAGAGTAAAAAGACGACTTTATACAGATGGATCCCGTACCCAAGCAGATGTTACACAATGCCGCAATGCCGTGTAGCTTTAAGTGCTGGTCCTGCGACTCCAGCGTTGCCACGAAAACGTCCAAGGCATCAGCTTCTATTAGATGAGGCCAGTTAATCGGGTCGTAGGCAAAATTGGCCAAATTCGCAGTCACCTGCTCCTGGGCCTCTGGAAACGGACAAAAGTGAAATGATAGCCGTAATAACAACAAAACCCCTCTTACCGACGTTGGTCGTCGTGTAATACTCCTCGACCAGGTGCCCGATATACTCCCGCCGGTCTATGCCCTGCGCTGGTGTTCGCCGCTTCAGGTGTCGATGGCTGGAGAACATATCAATGGAAAAACGAGGACATTTCGCCTTTTATACTCTTAAAATAAGGGTTTTATTTCAATTGTGCGCGTATAAGTTCTCCAAAAAATTAGTCTTCTATCGATATTATTTTGTTAACATCGATATTTCGCTCTCGATATTTCGACTTTGAAATATTTGCATTTTTCAATATAACTTTAAAAAGAAATTTAAATTTAAAATAACGATAGTCATGTTAATGAGGATTCCATTCAATTTGAAAAGTTTTATTAAGATTATTATTTTTATTATTACTTCTCCAACATAAAAATTCAATTCACTTTTTAGTTCAAAGATAATTTTATTAAAGCAAATGTTGTTCGTAAAATGAGTAGTGTAAATCATATGTCCCAGTGCAAAGATACCCATCTCGAATGTCGTCCTAGCTTTCCTGCTTGTCCTCCGCTTTCAAGTCTGCGTCGTTGACGTCGAACTCGGTGTCGTTTGCATTGCTGAAGTGGCTTCTAGCAGCTGCAACGGACTTTGGTGGGATGTTAAACAGCGGGTGGGTGGGCAGCAGCTCGTTGATGGTGTCGCCCATGACCTGCGGGCAGCTAGCGGACTCCGAGTGCTGGGCAATGGAGACACCGCTTAGAGTATAGCATGTGTGGTAGAGATCTTGGGGTCTGAAAATAGGGTTTGTTTGGCAACTGGAGTCGAAGGTAAATGCAGACAACACTCACTTCCCCGGCTTGTCGATGAGCCCTCCGTTTTGCTTTTGACAGCAGATCAAGATGTACTCCTGCAAGGCTCCCACATCGAATAGCGTATGCTCCATCTCTTTGTCGTCGCCCGAGAGGGTGGCTTGTGTGATGGGTATGGTGGCGCCCACCCAAAAGGAGTAGCAACCATCAACCAGTTTGTTGGTCCGTCCCTGGAAGCCGCCCTCGTAGCTCATTTGACGACGCAAAGTCCACTGGAGCAGAGCCTGTTTGTCACACTTGTCGGCCTCGTTGAGCAACGCCAGACCGGCTATGCCGCAGAATGTATAGCCCCCATGGGCCTCCAGATCTGGAGCACCGCCGAAACCGCCCTCGTACGTTTGGCACCTAGCTATCCAGTCGCCGGTGCCGGCGAATAGCTCTCGGATCACAGGCTCGGGCAGGTTCAGCAGCTTGGCACAGGATATGGCGCAATAGGCGCCACGAACGTCCGTCTCGCCGTCCACGTGCAACCGATAGGACCCGTCCGATTCGCGTACACTGAATAGAAACTGGACCAGAGTGGGTCGATCAATGGCGCGGTATGCTTCCGGTGTGCCAATGATGCACAGGCTGTTCACAGCCGCGTAAGTGGGCGCCAAGTGCGCATACTGGCCAGGTCCGCCGCCAAAGCCTCCAGTCGGCGAACGGCACCTGTGCGGAAAAGCAGAGAAGAGAGGTTAGTAGGATTGGGGATAAGTATATCCGCATGCAACCCACTTGCTGAGAAACTGCACCACGTTTTCGAGTGTCTGGTCGTCGAAGGTGAAGCTGAGCAGCTGCGCTGCCTGCAGGATCCAATAAACGCACCAAGGCCGGCTGCTATCCAGACATTCGTAGTTGGACGGCAGCCGGCGCAGCATTGCGTCCAAGTAGTACTGGTGTTCTAGGCGATGGATCTGGCTGAGGCGTGGTTGAGTAAAGAGTAGCTCGTCGAACCGGTCGAAACACTTCTCCACCGAGGTCTCTGTTTTTTGCTGCAAGGCCAATGGTTCTTATCTATGTGATTCAGTCGCTCCGCCCGACCGGGATTACTCACCTGTTCGCGAGATGTGGTCGTGGGCACCTTCTCGTCGTTAAATTTTAAGCCCTTAAGGTGCTGAAAGTTACGGAAGAGCAGTTCCTCCCCGGGATCCATGCTGGCGCGGCGAAGAGCTTTCTAAATTAAATGAAATAAACAAAAAGGTAATTCCGTCCGATTTGACTAGTGGCCAGTGTGACCGGCTGCTATACCATAAAAAATGACCAAAGAGCGTTGTAAGGTATCATTTTCCAATAGATTCGTGAAATTTGTGGCAACGCTATTTTAAAAATTTGGTGCAAAAGTCGTTTTAATTTACTTTAAAATCAAAAGGTATAATAATAAGCAACAATAATAAACTAAATTTAAGCTAAAGGGTCCAATTATCGGTGAGATATCAGGCTCTCGGTGGTATAAATCTCTGTCTGGCTGCTTTCTGAGATGGCTGCCAAGGATTCCTCTTTATCCTTGGACTTCCACAAGCCGCATAACTCGATAAAACCGTAGACTGATAAGCACACCACAAAATAGGCCGTCAGGGTCACGACAATCTGAAACATAATTAGCGATAAGATCTGCAAGATCAAGCATCAATTCACCATTTTCTATCCCTAACATTTCAAAACTCACAATGGCGAGCCCCTTGACGAACAGCAACAGCAATCCGCTGCTATCGAGTTGGCTTGGCCAGTCTATCAGGGGCTGCGATGAGGAGGGGACACTTTCGGGACTCAAAGTAGTCCCCCCATCTTCAATTTCACTGTATCCGCCCTGGGTCTCGGTCCTCAAGGGTAGATACCAATCGTAGTAGAGCTGCGACAACATAGATACTTCCAGAGAAGACTTCTTCCGGACCTGCTTCTCCATTGCCTTTTCTTTTTTCTCATCCAATAAGTGCTGTAAGCAAAACTGGAGATCAGCCAAAGTAACTATTTGGAATTTGTCGCAACTCTCCAAGCTTGTGAGGTGGGTTAAGTGGGGTGATGTGGCGGCTAATTGATTGCTCTTTTCCCTGCGTTGGCTAGGCCTTGTTTTAGGATGCAGTTTCTCCCCCTGTTGCAAACAGAACGGAAAGATACTGTTATTATTAGCAGGCTTAAGTTAACCCACAATCAAGTTAAAGAGTATTTAGTTAGTGGTAAGAAAAAGCCTAGCCACCAGAGCAATCAACCAGCTTTTATTAGAAACAACATACAAAAATTAGCAGGAATTTAAGTTGTAAAAATTTTGAAAAAAAAATTCTCAAAGTAATGTATAATGAACTAAAAAAGTATGGTAAGGAATAACTCAAATCGCATTCCATAGGCCCCGGCGAGATTCGAACTCACGATCTCCTGTTTACTAGACAGGCGCTTTAACCAACTAAGCCACGGCGCCATGTTTTCACTTTGCGGCATTTGCCCTACTAAAGTGCCCTGCTTGCACAAACGAAACAAGCAGTGGTTGGTATAGTCATGCAATATGGGCCCTAGGTGGCGCTGCAACCATGTCAAATTGAAATCGATGTAAAATTGTAACCCCTGCCTAAGGACGTGTCAGGCCTCTGTAACGCTATATATTTCTGATCTGGATTGTGTTTTATAGGTCTACCATGATTTAAAATATCACTCACCGTTGCAGGTCCTTGCAGTTCCAAATAATTTGAATCATATTTGCCCTGCTTGATCTCCTCGAGCTCCTTGTCCGTCACAAAGTTATTGCGATCGATGGCCTCGTTGCTGTATATGTCGTAGAACTCGCCAGGCCGCGAGCTGGATTGCACCTGCTCACACTGCTCCGTGGCTTGATTGTAGAAGCTTCGCTGGCCAAAGTATCGCTCCTCGCAGTTTAGCGGCGTGCAGTTGCGGAAGTAGTCCTTATCCCAGTTCCGGCAGTCCACAAAGTCCTTTCGCTTGCGCAGCGAATGACCATTTGGATCTAGGACCTCGAAACGTGTATCGAAGTGGAGCAGCTGCTTTGTCGAGGCTATAGAATCCTGGACACTCGTGACAGTGAGCTGGATGGGGCAACTACCCACACGGTTGTACAAGGACTAAGGGAAAGTATAATTAGGGTGCATTTAGTAAGTCATATTTGGTAAGATTAGTAAAATAGTAAGAAGCCTTACCAAAGTGGGCCACACCAAGGACACGCTTTCGGTCTTGCCAGGCTCAATGGCCCCAAAATTGCCCCCAAAAATGCGACCCATCGATTGGACCAGCTCTCCCCTCGTGGTATTCAGAGTACACTCTCCGTCCGAGCTGACCATAAAGTCCAACATTTCTCGCCTCTCATTCTTCATGCTATTGGTGACGGTCAAATCTGTGCTTAGTTAGTTAGTAGAGGAAGTCAAGGGGAATCACAGCTTGGCTTACCAAAAATCAGGCCAATGTCCTTTTCCCGAGGCACTCGTACGACCACATTGGTGACACACAGGCTTCCGTTGGATATACCACTGTTTAGAAGGAAAACTAAGACTATTAAATATTTTAGCATTTTCTCGGAAGAATTCTATTTGTATTTTTGACAAAATAAGCGAGGTAACTGATATAGAGATATTTTCAAACATTTGAAATAACAAATACCTTTCAGGAACTTAAACATCGTTTCCTTTCTGAATTTTTACATACCTAATATCCTTTCTTGGCTTGTTGGATTATGCCACTTAAATACAGATCGATAACAAACGTTCCAAGAAGACTTCTTTCCCTTCTTAAAAATTCTTGAAAAGTTCCTTGCAACCCTTGGACTTCATGTCGTTGAGGATTCCGATCCCTAATGGCTTGTTGTTTAATTAAGTGTAATTTTAGTGCCTGGCAACCCCTAGGATGATGCCTGGTCACAAAGTGCACTTAGTTGATGTATAGTTAGTATCCATGGCCAAGTTTTCTGCATCCATTGCAATTTATGTTTTAATCATCAAACGCGACCCAATTAATCAACGTGGCCGGCCTTAATTTATGCGGCGGAACAGTGTTTTTGAAGTAACCCGACGCGACAGCGCACGACAGGTGACATTTTGCACAGGGTAAAGATGGAAATGGGGCGACTGGGGAATGGGGAATGGGGAAAGTCGAGTGCAATGCATATTCATACCAGGCCTTAATTTATGCCCAAACTCAAAACTAATTTGACAGGAAATAATTAATTTGGCATCGAGAGAGCCCAAAAATAAAAGTGCTGCTGCTGGCTGATGCCAGGCAGTGCCAATTAAAATTATTTCGCTTTCATTACCCAATGCAGCAGTAGCAGCAGCCGTAATAAAAGTCTTAAGCGAAACCCAAAAAAAAAATATAAGGAGAAACGGCAGCTCCACCACCATAGCACAACAACACGTCCAATCCCAGACCAGACCGGAGACAAAGACAACGAAATAAAAGGCAAAAACTAAGACAAAAAAAGTTTAAATAATGAAATCACTTCGCACCATCTCGAAATTGCTCATTAACATTTTGTGTTTGCGATATCAACTTGTGAAAATCACAGGGCCCAGCAGTGCAGCAGACTCTGCTCCGGACTCGGGTCTCCAGGCCAGGCCCAGATGCAGACCCAGACTCCGAGGCAGCACCAGCTACTTGGCTTTTATTTATTATGCCATGTTGTTGCTGTCGCCCGATGTTGCCGTTGTGCTGTAGCTGTTGCTGACTCTTATTAGTTGGGTCAGTCCGTCTTACTTATTTTCTTTACTTTTTTTATATTTTTTTTTAGTTTTTGTTGCTCTTTTTTGAGTTGAGTTGGAGGAGGTGTGAAATCTGTAGCTGGATGTCCTCGCTGCCTGGCCGGTCCCATCGTCGGGTCGTGATTTGTCTGCAGAAGACACAAACAACTCCTCGGACCTTAGCAATTTTTCTAAAGGTCGTTTGCTTTACCTTTACATTTGCCTTTACTCAATGAAATTGGCTCAGCCTCCAACAAGAATACACAGAGAGAATTTTAGGGGATTTTATTAATCATATTTAGTAACTAAATGTTGGGAGAATAATCAATATCGTATAGAGTTTTTGTGTCATTAAGCAGTATGATTTTTTATACACTTCCTAGGTACATATGTAGTCGGAAGTTCGTAACGCGTGAAGGACTTATTTCCGACCCTATATAGCATATATATTCTTGATCGGCATATACAGCCAAGGCAAACTAGCCATGTCCTGTCAAAAAATAATTATTCAAAATTTTTTAAAAATTTTGTAAGGGGTTACATACATTGTTAAAATTGTCAAAAATTTATACAAATTTTAATGTTTTGTAAATGTTAAATTGAGTATACAGATTTATTAATCTAATAAATACTAACATACGAAAGCTTTCCGAATTAAAATTAATGTTTTTTAGGCTTAGTTATGATTTTTTTTAATTTGTATTTGCCATTGAAATTGTCATATAAAAATTCAGATAAATATCGATTCGATTATTCCATTAAAACTTGCTGGTTCTTTGTTTAATTTTTACTTACTTGTTCAAGAGGAATGTTGCTCTTAAAATAGATCATCAAAATATAATATTTATGGGTAAATAAGTTAAAGAATAATTCATGTTCAATAGTTATAGTTATGCTCCTTGTACCACATGACGTATACTTAATGTTCAACCGTATGATAGCCCCAGTTTTCTCCTTGTGCATCGCACATCCTCGCCACGAGAGCACCAGTCAAAGTCAGAGATAAGACCACTGCCTGGACTGGCTGACTGGCTGGTTTGGGTGTATTTCAGTAGCCATTCGATTTATGTTAAATAAGCTGAAGGCAAGCTCTGTTTGTTGTAAAATACCAATTGCCAGGAGCTGGTGGAGGAGCTCGGAGCTCTGGGGTCGAGATTTCGCAGTGATTCACGTTTCTGCCCTCCGACTCTCGACTCCTTTACGTATGAGTGGTGTTTTGCCACTGTTGTCGCCGGCCTGCATCAGATTTCTTAATTTAATTGGCTTTATGCAAGGAATTCTCGCTCCTCGAACTTTATAGACAAGCTGTCTGCGGGTCCTGCTTCGCTTCCTCCGCCATCCTACTCCAAACTCCTTGGCTCCCGTGGAGGAATCGTGGGAACTGCCTATCGGGGGCGCGTGTGCTGGACTTGCTGCGAATGATGGAAAAACAACAGCTTAACCCAATTTTCCTCTTTTATTTTTTTTGGCCATCAGCGCAGGGAAATCAATAAAGAGAAAAACAAAGGAAAAATGCTGCACGTAATTGCGAGTTATGAGCGGAAAACGTCTGGCCAAGAATCAAATGAAAATCGCTGAGGTTTTCCATCATCGCGTGTCGGGTTGGCAGCGTTTTAGGAACAATTGCGCCGCATTTAAGCATAAATGCAAGCGAAAAGTCGCCTCGATGGCACAGTGTGTGTGTGTGTGATGGCATTAGTGTGGGTGTGTATCTGTGTGTGTTGCACTTAATCATCGGCGTGAAATGAAGAAAAAGAAAGAAATGGCCAAAGACGAGGCCAACTGTGTTGGGACTACCCCACTTCTCTCTTGTTTCTAGGGAGTACATATATAATTAAGCCATAAATTCTGTTTTTATGATTTTCCACAAAGTTATGAATTTATGGCAGCACACACACACACACTCAAAGAGAGACTGCAAAAACGGAAGTGAATTTAAATGCGCGCGCATGCGAAATGGAAGCAATTCCCTAAGCCAACTACGAATCCCCTGTAGACTTTGAGCCAATCGTAGTCGGTCCCGGCCATGTTTTTTGGGCCATAAATGTGTCCGAGCACTTTGCCCGTACCTCGTAAATTTAACGCTTTTAAGTTTTATTTCTCTCCAGGCTTCTCCGACTCTCCATTTCGCTGATGGATGTGCCACAGCACTGGACAGGGAGGGGTGTATGTGTGGCCAATAAAATTTAAATATTTATTGTAGTCCATATTTTGTTGCCATGCAAATTTTGCGGGGCCAACCAAAAAAATAGAGCAGCAGCAGCAGTAGCCACAGCGGGGTGTGTTTTTCATTTCGGCTGCAAAATGTACACCGAATTTGCGGCATTAATTGCATAAAATTGTGCCCTGTCGCTGGATATTATATGCTGTCGAAGGGGGACTGGACTCCTTACTGGGTCAATTAGCATAATCGCTCTTGAAATTGCAACCCGAACTCGAACCCAAAGTCACCTCGGGGCTTTGCCACTGACGCGTATCTTGACTTGACTTGACTTGACGTGGCTAATCGCATCGATCGAGGGCTTGCAAGGGGTTGTCAAGATCGCTACGTACTACGTAGTACGTACCAAAAATTAAAACCATAATAATTACGGCAATTACGCAAAATGCTCATGACTGGCCGCGTCATGGCTGCTTCCTAATGCGAAAATAACGTCATTAATTTTTTGAGCCACCACAACCTCTATTTATTTTTTGTTGGCAACATGATCTAGGCCGCGTAACCGAGCTGAGGGGTCATCTCTTGTGGAGTTGTTAATAACATTTTTGCAATTCATTGCAATTATTTTAGGACTAGGAATACCCTTTCCCCAGAAGGGATAGGTTTATATAAGGTGAATGTTTAATACGTTATTTATGTTATTTTAGGACTAGGAATACCCTTTCCCCAGAAGGGATAGGTTTAATGTAAGGTGAATGTTTAATACGTTTCTTAATGGAATCAAAAATATGCTTCAGGTTTAAACCAATTCCTCCTTATAAATATAAATCTTTGTAGGCTAAGTCTCTATTAATCACAAAATAAGCTTTGAATAGTTCAAGTAATATATTATTTAATGAGTAAGAAAATAGGTTTATTTGTTGTATTTTTTTATTCTAGAAGAATATATTCATATATGTAATTTCAATTTCTTTTCTTAGTAAACAATGTTCATAAAATTCATGTATATTCTGTTCGTCCCATATCTAAAGTTAATTTGCTTTAAAACAAGTAAAACTCTAATTTCAAAGCGTATAGGCAAGTCCCCCTTTAAAACCCAATTGCCAAACGAGTATTCTTTTAAAAGTATCCCTTTCGCGCAGGACTCGGGAGTGAAGTATTCAAAATGACTTGTCACTAGCGCGGCGTGCGCTAAATGGACAGGTGCAATTGCAAAAAAAGGCGACCTGCAGACGCGACTCATTCGCGATGTTCTTGTTTTCATAAAATTGCAATATTAATGCGGAAAATCTTTGGGCAGGAGCAGGTACAAGAATGGGGAATGGGTTACCTGGTACCCTGGCCAAGGTGTGCAGCAGGCCATCAATTGGTGCAACTCGGCGTGTTCCCGGGCTCAGTTTTTTTGTTAATTTTTTTTTGTGGCTCGGCAGCCGCTCCACATGCTTGACATTGATGCAATTTCATTCGCCGGCAGCTGACTATAATCCAGTATCCCCGTAACTGCCACCGCGGCACCCCTCATAGCCGCACTTAGTCGCAGCAATTAAACGAGATTAAATCGACGGTGCAGAGCAGCTCCAAAGTGGAATACCAAATACCATTGCGATGACCATGCCCCATGCTCATGCCCATGTCCACGTCCATATTCATGCCCGGCTCGGCTCGGTTCGGCTCGCAATTATATTTGAAAATGCAATAAAATATGG